TTTTTTTTTTTTTGCTCTTATTTCCGTTTCAACGAACTCAAAAAAAGTGTTCAAGGGGCTATTTTGAGGAGGGGTTTTATAGCTATTTTGTTGGGTGTTTCAAGGAGTTTTTATTTTTATTTCAAAGCTAGTTTTGGGATTTTTTGGGCTACTTATTATGGCTTAAATGGGCTATTCGAAGGGACTTTTCGCAAGTGTTATTAGGGGTTATTGGTGGTTGTTTCAAGGTTGTAAAGGTTGCTTGTTGAAGGTTGTTTTGGGTCTGATTTTTAGACATTTTTTGGGCATGTTTTGATTTTTTAGGGCTATATTAAAGATGGATTATGGGTGTTTTAGTGGATATTTTGGTGGTTTAAATAGGTCGTTCGAAAGGGATTTCTTTGAAAGGGTTTTTAGGGGTGTTGGTAATAGTTGTTGGGCTAATTTTAGAGGGTTTTTACTGGGTTTTTTAGGTCTTTTTTGGGGTACCTTGGGGCTTTGAAGGAGGCTAGAGTGGGAGTTTTGTGGCTCGTGTTAGGGTTGGATTTGGGGGTTGTTGTACGGTGGGAGAGAGGATGGTCGGAGCTACCGGCGTGTTGAGCTTGAGGGCACTAAGTACGAGAGTTGGTAGGCTAAAGCTACTAGCTGGAGTGGGGTCGCTAAATGTATGGGCATGGGGATGGCTTGATCTACCGGCATATGGAGTTTAAGGGCGTTGGTGCATGGCGTAAGAAAGGGGAAATCGTGTGTGAGGTGTGTTTGTGTGTGGAAGAGAAGGTCGTGGTGTGGGGCTGATTTGCGGGAGCAAGATGATGCTCGAATGAGTTTTTTAGGTGATTATGAATAGTAGTTGGTATAAAAAATGCATACGAGGATTTTTAAAGGTAGGGTTTTTTTTTTTTTTGGCAAAAATCGGACTTGGTCTTTAGTTTTCCACAATCCTTCACTTTGAACTCAATTTTTGTATTTTTTTAATTAAACCTTTTTTATGTAAATAATTGGGACTTTTTATTTTAATTTGTTTCAATTGTAATCCTCTTTATTCTAATTAAAGGACTTGAAGCTTTGATTTTTTTTAATTATGCCCCCAATTGCCATTTTAATTATTTTTGTCTATTTCTTTTTTTGACTCCCTTTTTAGAATTAATCTAAATTAGACTATTCTAATTACTCTCTTTTTTCTTGATTTGTTTTATCATTTTTTTGGGGTATTTTTGTAATAATAATAATAATAATAATAATAAATAAATAGATAAATAAAATGGGAGCGTAAATTTGGTGTTAACAATTTAGATTGCTAGATTTTCTTAAGTATACTAGCATTCGAGTGCCCCATAACTCATTTAAGGATATACTTGAATAAGATGGCTGAAGTAGCTCATAATGGAACTTTACTAATCCATTTTTTTTTGAAAGTCTAGAGCGATCCGCTCTCACTCGGTTTATCGACTTAGACCGGACTAAGATCAAGAAGTGGAGAGATTTGGTCGAGGCATTTATGAGGCGAGTATAAGTTAACCTAGAGATAACTCCGGATAGATCTAGCTTGCGGTTAATGAAGAAGGGTGCTAAGGAGTTTGTCGGAGAGTATGCTTAGAGGTGGTGAGAAACGGCTTTAAGAATTCGACCCTATTGCTAGAGAGAGAGTTGGTTGTACTCTTTATAAACACCTTCATGCCGCCCTATTATGACTATCCGTTAAGCAATGGATCTAATAATTTTATCAAAATGGTATATGCGATTGATCATATTGAGTACGCCATCAAGGTAGGAAGAGTGTCGAATTCCGCTGAATCAAGCTCAAAGAAGTAGCTTTGGAAAAAGAAAAGTGGTAGGCGTTCACCAAGTTAAAGTGCTAGTTTTCGACCGAGAGGTCATTGGGAAGCCCCATGGAAGGCAAACAGTCGGTTTATGCCATGAGGTGATATGATCGGTCTTGTCTCTCAATTCACAACACCAAGAACTATCATTCCAACCAATGTCATCGGTTTGATCGCTCGATCTTTGATTCTTGCACAACCTCGGATGCAAGCTATTCCTAAAAATCGTTCGCCTTCATACATTTTAATAACCGACGAGCTCCCTTCAACTAAAATGATCGGAGGAATATTAGACAAAAAAAGTATAAAAATATCTTGCCACCTCTCCCTATCTCTCTAGGAGATTTGTTCAAACACTCGGTGATCGTCGACCGTGTAACCCCGGTTCGGATACCTATCTAAGGTGGTATAGGGCAAATGAGACTTACAAGTATCACAATGGCATAGTTAGGCATAACATTGAAGACCGAGTCGATTTCAAGAAGAGGGTGAAGTCACTTATAGACTAAGGGTGGATAACATTCAAGGATACACCTAGTTTTTCAAATGTGAACTCGAATTCACCGCCAAATCATACTTGGACCCGGAGGGATAAACATGATGTCATATGATGATGTGGCATATGATAGGAGAGGATCAAGCTTGAAGATTTCTTTGGCCGATCGTTTGACTCGGTGAATATTAAGGGTGTTGACATGAAGCCTTCTAAAGTGCAAGCTACTCGTTAATCTTGAATAGTTTTATAAGTTTCATAGGATAAGGGGGCATCACATTGATGATCGTATTGAATTCCATCACGTCGTCCAAACCATACCGATACTAGGGACTTTGAGGGTAAAGAAGGAGAAAGAAAGTGACAAAGTAAATGTGCTATCTCGTTGATAATAGTGCCAACAATTTTACACTTTTCGGATATGAGTCGACCAAGGTGGATCCTATGAAGTCGGTTCCGAAATTGCCTACCCTTGTGAAAATTGATTCGTCGAGCCATTCCTTACAATTATGGAACTTCGACAAGTCACTCGTTGTTATGAAGATCTATTCGATGGAACAATCGATATTGAGGGAGGTATGCAAGCGGGAAGGTTCTATACCTCGGAAGAGCCGATGATAGAGAAAGAGAAGGGAGTTGAACATACCTCATTGAATATAGAAAAAGTTACCAAAGAAAAATGAGTTGAGTCGTCCTCAATGAATTTTGAGATGAATAAGCCAATTGACAATGATAAGGCTCTAGAGTTTTGAAGTTAATAAAGCATAATGAGTATAGTGTAGTAGATTAGTTGAATAAAACTTCAGCATATATATCCCTCTTGTTGCTCATCTTGAACTTTAAGCCCCATCGAAAAGCACTTTAAAAGGTACTTAATGAAGCGTATGTTCCATAAGACATCACCTCGACTCAATGGAGCACTTGATGAGAAGGGTACAAGCCACTAATTACTTATACTTTACCGAGGATGAATTGGGACCTAAAGGGACTGGACACAATAAAGCCTTTATAGCACTATCAAGGGTAAGGATCATGTAATTATGAAGGTACAGATTGATAATGAGTTTGCTCCGAATGTACTACCAAAATATATCCCGGATAGTCTACCAATCGATTCTTTGCACATGAGGCTAAGTAAGATGATGGCACGAGCTTATGATGGTACCCCTCGCCAAGTTATTAGTGATAGCTAATAATGTGGCGATCCCATACATTAAGGTAGAAGGAGTCGATGAGGGAAACTTGTATGCTTTTGAGACTATTAATATGGAGCCGATCCTCAAAAAACTCACAAGTAAGAAGCCTTAAGCTCGTTTAGTACTCGTGAAGATGGTAGCAAAATACATGATAAAGGTCGAGTTACCATCATTTTGTATGGATAATAGCATGTTTGATGATTGCAAGCCTATGAAGTAGGGGATGATCGATTAACATTTTAGGGTCGGGGTACAAGCCATCTAAGAAGAATTGTTAGAGGATGGTCGAGTTGAAGAGAGATAAGAGATTTATCTCTATTAAGGGTGAGACCACGATTATGGAGACATTTACATCCCTCATATCCGCACTACATTTCCATGACCTTCATATGTGGCATTTATGCGTGACGAGGATCTTGTTTTGAGTCACATCTTTAATGACATGGCAATCAACACCTTGGTGGCAGCGGTGATTAGGGACAATGATCGGTGCACATCATCGATCTCATCGTCGACTACGTCCGATATGGTGACTCTTCCATAACTCAACGTTGACAATATGGGGGAGGTTTTTAATGTTGGGCAACTTGTTTGAAAGTGTGCTAAAAATGAGGAGCCGATCAACTAGTTTGAGGAGGAAGGGCCGGTCGTCTATAAGGTTGAGTAAATCTCTTTTTATCATGTTTTTCTTTGACCTTCTAGTTGAATTCTCGCTCAAATCCCGAAAAGGAAATTTTGATGTGGAGTTTTTTTTTGTTCATATATAATATCAATGCATCAAACTATGTGAAATTTTATTTTGAAATTGTCTTGTTTGTCCTCTTTTTCTCTTCCCTTTATTTGTGCTTTTATTTCATTTCAAGAACATACAATATGATCACCTCTTTACAAATAAAAATGTTTGCACTAAAAATGATTGACCTAAATTTGATAAAACTTTAATGGCATTGACCAAAGAAAAATAGGGGGAGGATGATATGAATGAATTTATAAAATCGATAGAATTGTCGAACACTCTATCAAACCACATCGAGAAGAGTTGGAAGTGATAAATGTGAGGACTAATGAGGATAGATGAGAGCTGAAAGTCGAACCTTAATGGAAGATATTGAAAAAAAAAGGCTTGATTTTACTTTTGAGAGAATAATCGATGTATTTGCTTGATCATATGCTTGACATGCTAGGGCTAGATCTTCCATGATCATAAAAAAAATTAAAGTCACCTTAAAAACATATCTCCTTAGAGTGGTATGACTCCAAACATGAATAAGAAAGGAAACCTATAGCAACAAAATAAACAGAATAATCAATCCCTAATACAAACTATCATGCAATTGTCAAAATAGAAATAAGATTGAAGACAAAAAGAAAAAAAGAAATCAAAGAAGCATGAGGTTTTGGAACTTGAGGAAGAGTAGCCAAATGAGTCATGATGAGTAGCGAGATGAGAAGTCGGAAAGACAAAGATTAAGAAAGTGATTAGTGAGTACTTGGAAATGGAGTCTTAAAATGTTATGCGGGAAAGTATCCATCAAGCATGTCCTTAACTTTAATAGCATACTGCAGCCTACACAATTTCCATTCATGATTTAAAATGCATTTAGAAAATGATGAAGATATTGACTTAAGATGTTATAGGAAAAAAGAAGAAGAAAAAATTTCGAAGCCAAAAGTACATGTCCATCTATAGTGGTTCTAAAAATATGAGGGGTCATTACATGATTTGGCATGTAATGCGATAGATGGTTCTTTGGTGCTTGGTTGTGAATTCCAAACATACCCACTATAACCTGCAAACAACATATTAATAGAATTAGGTACAAAGGCAAATTGATAGTTGGTGTTATTTTTTTATCGAGGTCTTGGTATCCTTAAGGTTGATCCAAGTCGCATATCTACCAACTACTATTATCTTTGTTTTTTTTTTTAATAACGACAATAACCTTTTCTTCTTTACAACTCGGTTAGTTTAAAAGAAGAATCAATAACTATAACTAGGTAACATTAAATGATTATTAGCAACACTCAAAAAACAAGGAGCCGGGAAGTCTAACATATTCGGATATCGCTAATTTTAGACAGTTTTATGTTACCTCAAATCTATCCACTAGAGTAGGCAACGACAATCGCTTGAGTATCCACGATTGCTCTTCGAGCATTGTTAACAATAAAAACTCTTTTCTTCATCTTTGCAATCCTTTCTTTGTCAAACATCCATCTAAAAAAAGAAAAAAATATATATACATCATCACTACTGCAAATATAACTTGCCGACTTAAGCTCTACAGACCCAAAACCATTAGAGCCGAGAATGCATCCCGATAACCGAAATGCACATTCTTTAACATCAATAACAAACTACAAATAATCACAACCAAAGTCGAGGTCAACATAAAATTTAGGTTGAAAAACTAAATAAATACAATCAAAGCTTCATATATGTGTAAAAATCCTATAATGTGAAATATTCCTATAACGTGGCCCATGTGTCATGTTTTGTTTTAAATCTATAAGTGACAATTTAAAGACTTAGAGCTCAATGGACTCTAATGGTAGCCTAGGCACATCCATGATGGATGAAGGTGAAAAATTAGGTTAAAGAAATAATTCCTAATCTAGCCATATAAATAGTAAGTAAAGTTGGTGTTTTTCATCAACACACAAAACCTTAAAGTATTGGCATAGACTAGAAGGCTCTCTCTTTGACAACTCTAGTTTTCTTTCAGCAATATCTTGAGCACTTAATCATTCATAGCAGGAGGTATGTATCCTATTAATTTTCATTACGCTTATATGCTTAGACATTTTAATTATCTTATAGGTGGTATTAGAGCTCTTTTCTTGCTATTTTGATTAGTGCTTGTAGAATCTATTTAACAAAAATACATCGCTTATACAATTGAACAATATTGTATAATTGTCCCTTTGGAGTTGCCATTTGTATGAGATTCCTTTTGGCGACGACTTTGATGCTAGTTTTCATGCGAGCAAAAGAAAAAAGAAAAAAAAATGTGAACATTAAACTATTTTGAATGGATGGTATGACTAGTAAGGACAAAAGGCTAACAAAATGGTACAATTTGTCAAAATTGCATATATATATATCCGTGGCAAGTATATGAATCATAAGCCCTAGACTTACCGAAATCCTTCATTCGTGGCATGTTGTCTAGACTTTAGGTCGGTCATTATGAACTTTAGGTGCACTTGGTCTAGACTTCGTAAATAACGATGCAAATATATATATATATATATATATATATATATATATATATATATATATATATATATAAAGCATTGATATATTCTATATGATGTATACTTATTGACTTCGAAATAATTATGCATATACATTATATGTTTTGCATAGACTCAATTGTTTGCTTGTAAACGGCTTCTTTTAATTTTTCATGCATATATTATAGGCTTTGTTAGCATAAGGTATATGCGGAAAAATTGCTAAAGCTAATAATAAATAAATAATGAAATGGTTTATATTATTATTTTGATATGTCAACATAGAGTTATGAGTTGATATTAAAGCATGCTATGTTGAGATGATGATGTCAATTAACTTAGGAATAACCATAGCACCTTTAGTTATTTTGATGATCACATTAAATTTTATTAAATTAGTATGCTCATAAAGTACATAGTTTAATTTGCAATTATTTTATAAAACTATTGACTTGGCCCTACGGGGAGGTTACTATTTTTATGATTTAATTGAAATAAGATAATAAATTGATATTAAGAATGGATTTTATTCTAGGCCCTTGGGTGTAAATATTTTTTATTCTTGATATTTTATTTATTAGTCATATTATTAAAGAATTAGTGAATTCTATGCATAATGCAACCTCTACCCACTGGAAGGTTAGAATTTATTATTAAATTGACATTGGTTAATTTAAATAAAGTATGTTTTTTCATGGTATTAAAGTTTTTTCTTGGTTATTGCAACTTTTCCTACTTGCTTTTATTAACACATGTAGTATTCCAATGCTATATGATGATAACTTTGTTGATTGGAAAGAAAATATTCTCTTTGCATTAGGGTGTGTCGATTTGTATTTGGCCTTATGTGTGGATGAACCACCCATCCCTACGGATTCAAGTGATGCATAGGAAAAGACTAATTATGAGTGATGGGAGCGATCTAATTGCTTTAAGTTTAATGCTTATAAAGTCTCCCATAAATCTAGCACCTTAATGAAAAGGCTTTCGATAAGTCATTTGACTATTCTAAAGGTTTTTCTTACTTCGATTTATCATTTTTCCTACAAAACCCAAAATCGTCATCTTATTTTTATACTATACAATATAATAAAATAATTACTAGAAAGTTTAATATAATAAGGTATAAAAATTATGTTAATTATGCACTCATCGACTTATGAATTATATTCTTTAGAGTAATGGCCAAAGAATAGTGTAGTACTCTCTAAACTTTGTAAACTTAATCAATGTGTTTGTTCTTTCTTCGTTCACTAACGATTTTGGCCATTATAAATAAGTGAGTATATGTGTGATTTATGATGAGCAAAACATAAGGATTGAGAGTTTTCTTTGAGCGTGAGAGTGGTTGTACAAAGAGCTTTGGATTTGGGTATAAAAAAATTACAACCATATTCTTGAACTATTATTTTCTCATAATAAAGAATTATTTTCGGATTTGTGGAGTATGCGGGTTTTTGCTAAATCACGTTAAATCTTGTGTGTCCACTTTTTATTCGTCTTTATTCACGTTAAATCATGTTAAATATCTGGTTATTAGTTTTCGAACCGTTTTATATCAACTCTAGTTTTGTAGATTTTGTTAAAGAACTTGGATTTTGTAATGAATGGAATTTACTAAGTTTGGGATTCGAGTTTTGAATGTTGAATGTAGTTATTAAGTTTTTCCTTTAAAAAGGAATATAGGAAATGTTTGGAAGATTTGGATAATAACAGTTGAGGCAAGGTTAAGTATGCCATTTAATTTTTTGTGCATTTTTACATGGCATAATATGCCACATAGAGATAATATGTATTTAAAAGATCATAAATGTGCTGTTTTTATGTGGTAATGTTCTCGTTACTTTTTTGGAGATAATCAGTATAGATAGATATTGATTGGTTTCGCATTTGAAAACATAGGTTGCCGAGGGACTGATTTTCCCATATCAATCGTTTCTTCCAAGTGAGCATACTTGGTTGATGAGAGTGGAAAAAAAATCTCTTTTTGCTTGTCCTTGACCTTAGATTGGTTACTATAATCAATGGCATCTGCATGTAAGTAATCCTACTCCCGCCGATTGTTTTGTGATCTCTGCCATCTATAGCATATACCTGGATGAGGGATGTGATTGATCTTTTCTCATATTGTTATTGGCCTTGGTAGATTATTGATGGCTGCTGCTGTTAGTTCAATCTTTTTACAGTGTTAGTTTTTGATAGAAACATGTTACCTTAAAGCAAGAAGGCCGACCGTCTTTTTTATTGGTTTCATAAGAAGTCGATAAAAGATGTGTTTTAGTTTATTTGTTGGTGATCTAAACACTATTTCTGGTTGCAGCTTTGCTCTTATTATGGCCAATGATCGCATTTCTCTTCATCCCACCACTACCTCCTACTTTGTGTCTTGGCAATCTGAGTGGTCAAATCATACGCAGACATGAAGTTGTGGCGAGCCATGGTGTTGTTGCTACTGATGATGGCAGATGTTCGCGAATTGGGATGGGTGCTCTTCGTGAAGGGGGTCATGCTGTTGATGCCGCCATTGCTGCATCTCTTTGCTTGGGAGTTGTGGGCCTAGCATCGAGTGGTATAGGAGGAGGATCTTTCATGTTGATCAGGCTAGCTACCGGAGAGGCACAAGCCTTTGACATTAGAGAAACTGCCCCTATGCAAGCTTCCCAGGTGCTCCAACTTGCTTCAAAAATTATGTTTTTACGGTGTTCAACTTTACTGTGATCATTTGCCTAGAAGGTTATATGCACTTACTGTTACTTACAAGACATGCCCATACACCTTCATAAAGCTGATCTCTTCGGCTGCCACAATTCCACTAACGTTACCAATTTCTACGCAGACAGTGTGAAGGAAATGCATGATTACATAGACTTGACAAGGGCAACCTTGTCAATTGAATCACCTCCGCCGTTGCTCCCTTCCTCTCTACTTACATTGATTATCTCTTTTCAGGATATGTATGCTGGCAATGCTACTAAAAAGGCTAGAGGCGTGCTCTCGATAGCAGTTCCAGGGGAACTTGCTGGTCTTCACAAAGCTTGGGAACAGTATGGAAGGTTTCCATGGGAAAGGCTTGTAAGGTCAGCTGAGGAGCTTGCTCGTAAAGGATTCAAAATTTCACCATACCTTCATATGCAGATGGTCAAAACAGAATCAGGGATCCTGGCTGATAAGGGGCTTCAAGACTTGCTTACATCCAATGGAAAACTTTTGCAACCAGGAGATATCTGCTACAACAAAAAACTAGCAGACACACTCAGAAGTATATCAAAAGATGGCATAGCGGCCTTCTACAATGGATCGATAGGATACAAATTGGTTGAAGATATTCAGAAGGCTGGAGGGATTTTGACAAGAGAGGATTTGCGGAGATATCAAGTTAAAATGCGAGATCCAATCACTGTTGAGATTCTAGGCTTCAAAATACTTGGAATGCCCCCTCCTTCTTCTGGGGGTGCTTCAATGATGCTTGTAAGCGTATCTTTGTCCTTGCCTTCTACATGCTTGGAAGAAAAAGGCACAACATACTAGGATTAATATTTTTCACTGCCACAGATTTTGAACATTCTTTCCCAATACGGAGTTCCTTCTGGCATTCTGGGTCCTCTTGGGATCCATCGAGAAATTGAAGCTCTAAAACATGCATTCGCAGTTAGAATGAATCTTGGGGACCCCGATTTTGTTAATGTCACTGAAGTCGTATCTGACATGCTTTCTCCAAAATTTGCTCAAACGTTAAAGAAAACCATAAATGACAACATGACTTTTGATCCTCGTCATTATGGTGGCAGGTATGCTACTTCTTTAATAAGGGTCTGGAGGATTTACATGATTATAACTGTAAGTTTCAAATATATTTTATTAATTGGCTAATTGGTTCGATAGTACCTGAACTTTTGGGTGAGAACTTTCTAAATGATATGTTCATGTGCTAGAATTTATGTTCACTGGGAATGCTTGTTTAACTGAGCACAAGCATGCTGGTCATAATACTGTTGTATCATTGCACTGGGAGCTGCATTCTTTTTGCTGGCAGACAGTTCTAAATCATTTCGATTCAAATTTCATGAATGGAAAATGATAATTAATGTGACCCAGTGAAATGACACTCCAAAGACCTTTTTAGGTTTTGCATTACTGTTTAGTAGTTAATTTTTGCATCTGTTTCAAACTCTTTCACATTCATTTCGTCCATCAAAAAGGTAAAGGAATTACTCCTTTGGTGTGAGCATGCAGTTCTGGATGTGTATATTGTGCATTTAGAGAGCTAACCTGCGAAGCACAACATCAGTAACAAAAAAGAAAAGAAAAAAAATACGTATTTGATATGTTTTCCTGATAGGTGGAACCAGATCCATGACCACGGAACCAGTCATATTTCCATTGTAGTTATTGAACGAAATGCTGTCTCCATGACCAATACTGTGAACTCATACTTTGGTTCAAATATGCTGTCTCCGAGTACGGGAATACTTCTAAACAATGAAATGGATGATTTCTCCATCCCCATGAACAATGGAGACATTCCATCTCCAGCACCTCCCAATTTCATCCGCCCAGGGAAGAGGCCATTATCATCCATGGCACCTACTATCATTTTGAAGGTATTCTGCTTCAAGATTTTTCTACTCAACATAGGATGGTTCTTCCTCGACTCGATTTCGTATTAGTTGATAACAGATACCCAATATTTTCCTACAGATTTTATGCTCTTTTTGGTGGGGGTAGCAACTCACAAAGGGCAAGGATAACGTACTCTACATTATTGGCATCTGATTATAGATGACTAACATTGCAATGCTTATTTTGCCAGTATCTTTTCCTAAATTTTGGGACTGACAATGTGCCTGCTTATCATGATTTTGTGACCTCTACACCTACTACTGCTACTGTTTAATCTTTTCATCCGTCTTCCTATGCTTCTTCAGGATGAGAAACTGAAAGCCGTGGTAGGCGCAAGTGGAGGAGCCATGATCATTGCTGGGACTACAGAGGTGCTATTAAATCATTGAAGGGCATGGATCCACTCCATTCTGTCCTTGCTCCAAGAGTTTATCATCAGGTTTTTATTGATATGTCCATGGTGTTAATTATATTAATATATTCCAGTGATTCTGTTTCCAACTGCTTTAGTCTTCCCGTATTTATTAAGATTTACAAGCTCTACACGTTCTGGTTTATAGCTGTTTTGTTGGCTTCTGGGTCAGTTCTTAGGTTCAGTTTTTATTTATATTTGTGTAAATGTGTTTTGAGTTCAACTTCTCATGAGTAGTTTGGTCATATATTTCATTATGATGGGAATTAAGCTCTGATAATAGCATTTTGCTAAAGAAAAAAATAATATTTGTCTTTGTTTGAAAAAGCTCTCTTTTTACAAATTTGTACAATGGTTTGCTTCTTAATTTCTGTTCAATTACTTCATCTATTATTCCAATAATGAATGACTGCACCATGCTGTGCTTTTAAGAAAATTAATTAAAGCTAAAATGCTTTGCTATGAGTTTGATGTTGGGTTTAATTTCCTTTTAGTTGGAGGTTAGCGCAAAGGTTTATCTATGTAAACTCAATCTTAGAGTTCCTGTAAAGGATGATTTTTTTAATCAATTGAAAAACTCATCTTCTCTTTAATTACGAGATTAGATTAGGGAAGAAAGTAGAGAGAAAAAGAAAAAGAAAAGAAAAAAATGAAAGAGAATTGCAATTTTAAAGAGAAAAAGAAAGAAAGTTTCTACGTATACCGATCATGGTAAAATTGAGTTTTCGGAATTGGTAATTGTTGGATCGTGCTTGAATTTGGTAGGCACATTCGGGACGGACGGATGCATATTCCGAACGTTAGAGATCTGGTTTTGTGTCCTAGAGAGTGGTTATAATGCTCACAATGGTATTGTTTTTTGGTATAATCTGAATTTTTTTTTATTTTTTATTTTTTTTATCTATTAATGAGGTTTGTTAATGACGTGTAACCTTTAATGTTTGTAGTTGATGTGTTCCTTTAGTTTAATCTAAAGAAGACTCTTTGCATTAGAGTTAGATAGTTGAGATTGGGTTCCATCCAAAAACTTAAGCCTTGTGGTGGGTGGCCCTTCTCAACTTTATATATTATTTATTATTGGTTTAACTATTCAATATAGGACATATTCTAACACTCCCCTCACTTGCAGCCCATTTTTTGTGGTTTGTCGAGTGGCTTGGGCTCAGGGATCTTTGTTGGGTCATTGGGCTTCTTTGAGGCTATGATATCATATTAAGTTAGATAGTTGAGATTGGATTCCATCCAAAAGACTTAAGCCTTGTGATGGGTGACCCTTCTCAACTTTATATATTATTTATTATTGGTTTAACTATTCAATATGGTATATGTTCTAACACTTTGTATTATCCATTATTGTTGATAATGGAAATCTTTGAGGGATCCATTCGTGGTTTTTCCTTCTTAAATTGAGGAGGTTTTCCACATAAAATTTGCATGTTTTTTTATGTGATTGACATTCTATTTTTCAGATTATTAGTTATTTGTTTTGTCTTGAGTATTTGTTTGTAATTCTTATTTGATTGTTCAAAGAAGGATAAAGAGGTTTCGTTGCTTTATTTGTATTTCTTTACCCACCATTTAAGAATTTTGCAACCAAGGGCATATTAATTAACACCAATTTAGTTGTTAATCTGAACAGCCAGCAATCGAAGTTTCTAACAATATCCACCCTACAATGTTGTTTTTGCAGTTGATACCTAACGTGGTACAGTTTGAGAATTGGACAACGCCATATGGTGAACACTATGAAGTTCCTGCTCATGTGAGAGCATTCCTTCAGAAAAGGGGCCATGTCCTACAAAGCCTCGCTGGTGGGACTATTTGTCAATTCATTCTCGCAGATGCAGAAACTAGCAAGAAAAATAAAGGTAGGGATGAGCTTGTGGGAGTCAGCGACCCAAGGAAGGGAGGTTTTCCTGCTGGCTATTGAAATTACATTGCAGCATTTTGGAGTGCATTTTCTTCTTTCCTCTCGGGCTGCGATTCACCGACAATGGTCTTTGTAGCAGTAGTTTTCTTTCGGTCTTAGTTAAAAAAAAAAAAAAAAAAAAAAAAAAAAAACAACAACAACAACAACAACTTGTATGATTCAAGTGCTAATAAGCAAGGTTGAAAGAAAATAATTGTGTTAAATAAAAGGTATCATCAACATGGATTTTAAAACAAATTTAGGATAAACTAGCTAGTTACTCACGTTACGTTATAGGTATAATAGAATAAAATTATTTAAAATTATTTAATTATAATATTTTATTTAATTAATTTTTTCTAATGTTTCTATAATTTTTTTAAAAAATAAATCATTCTTCTTTATGGATTGATTTTAAAAATTAAAAATTATAATAATTTTAACTAAAATATTAATAAAGAATTAAAAAAATTTTAAAAATATAATTTTCATAATATTGGATTTCAAAAAATAAAGGATCAAAAAGAAATGAAGTGTAAAATTAAAAAATAAATGCAAATAAAATTATAAGAAAATCACAAAAATGCTATTATTAAAATTATAAAAATACCCCTACAAATTATTGTTAAAATGAAGTGCAAGAACATGAATCGATGTGTCAAAAAACATACGGGGGTCGGGATACCATGAGTGCATCTCAAAATGCTACTGCTTACAAAGAAGGAGTGGAAGCTTATTATTGGCTTTAAAAAAGAAGAGCAGTAACTCTCAATAGATTTGTGGGCTTTAGTTTAGTTGACAAAGAAAGGTCAAAATTATCGAGACAGGTGTTGTGCGGTGGGAGTATAAAGAAGATGGGCTTGTAATTGATGGATGGATAGAATCATAGAATAAGGCAACTACTTTGGTCCCTTCTGTGATTCTTTGTCTGTACTGGTCCCCTTCGTATCATTGTCCTTTTCTCTTACACATTTGCTAGCACCCTGATTCCAATATATTTTTAGTCCTTTGATGTTTCCTGATAAAAGTAATGTTGTCTCTTACGCAATGGATGCTAGATTAATTTCACTGAAACTAGCATCATATTACCTGAAAATAAGAGCCTGCATTTCATCATTGTCCTTGTCTACTTTTTCCTTTGCTAGAACAGAATCTCAGGAGCCACTTTGTTCAAAGTGAACCAAAATTGTTCTAGCAGCACTGAAACTAAAGGAGATAATAATTTCATTATCATGATCATGAGGGGGGTAAGATTTTCTTCATTTTTCTCTCTACCTTTTGCAAATGTTAGGCCATAACATTGTGTTAGCTTCTTCTACTGTGAATTCATTATTCCCTGGATGTTACTTTTGGTTGCAATGAAAGAAGCTCCAAGTGCAGGAACTGTATATCTATCATTGACATCATTTTCACTGAAAATTCAATCATCATCAATTGCATTAAACCTTAATAATGTGCAATAAACCTTAAAATTCGTGTGCTAAATCATTGCTGACTTCCACAATATATGAAGTTTTGGAGGCTGCATGTATATATGATTGCTGTGCTCAAATCTAGTCAATTACTTTCTCCTCTTTATTCCTTTTGCTCTCTTCTTTGGGACCATGTAGCTCCTAATAAACTTCGAAAGCTAAGTCTTGTTCAATATATTGGCTTTTTCATGAAGAATTCGTGTCTTCAAAGTCCAAACACAAGGACCCTCCATGATCCATTTATCCATCACAAAGGAATGTAGTTCATGAGATTGTTTTAGTGACCCCATTAACATTCATTTTTAAACATTTTTTTTTTTAAAAAAAAACAAAATCCATAAGGTATGGTTCCTCTAATCAAATTCCTCAATACTTTTGTACAAGACATTCTCTCTTCTGCGCATGGGCAGGGCATTCCTGAATTGACATTTTCTAACTCCCAAAACCAAAATTGTTCTCATTTTCTCTTACAAAACTCGGTGACAGAAAAGATAACGATGACCACATCAAGAGGAGTGACTGTGTTCAGTTCAATCTGACATTAGGGTTTTGTTTCATCTTGACATGAAAATAATGTACTAATATCTAATATGTGATTTGGTCTTATGAAATTGGGATTGACTGAGTCAGGTACCAAATCCGAATATAAAAATTTCGGCATCCAGCTATTGGCACCCCAACAAACATGCCTCTTTGTCTAGTCAAGAGCAGAAAAAGGCACCCATTGCATTATTTATTTTTTATGCTTATTTCGTTTTCGTTTGGGCTCAATTTGCATGGGATTCTATTTTTAAAGGCAACGGTTCTCTCTAAGAACGTGGTTTTGCACTCAAAAACAGGCTGGCCCTTGCTTGATGGTCCCACTTGCTAGGACTATTTTAGATTTTTATAGCAGAATTCTCAAGTTCCAAGATAGCAACGCCCACCCTTCCTTCTTCCCCATTAAGCCCCTCGATTTAGACCAATCCATTGTAGAATTTAGTCAATGAGATAGACTGCATCGCCGTCAAATTTGTTCATTTTTAGGTTTACCCTATAATTCATTTCTATATAGTTTTAATTTTCTTTTTAATAAAATCCTCTATTATTTTTTATTTTGATTGAAACTTTTTATTTTTATAAATTTATTAATTGAGACTTTTTGTTATAATGATGTTAATTATTCATTATCACGTGAAAATATAGATAAAAAAATTATCATGTGTCGTTATTTGATTGATTATCTTTAGTTTTAATTTAACAAGTATGATGAATAGTTAATAACATTGTAACGAATGATCTCAATCAATAAATTTGTAAAAGTAAAAAATTTCAATCAAGCTAAAAAATAATAAAAGATCTCAATGAAAAAAATTAAAACTATATCGAGTGATCGATTATGGGATAAACCTGTTCATTTTTCGAGGTAAAAAGCCCTGCAATGCATTTTGAGTTTTTCACTATTCACATGTTTCTTCTTTGGTAAATTTGATTTTACATTGAATTAATATCATAATATCGCTTCCAATTTTGTGTTTTTGACTCCATGTATGTTGGAAATAACATGCTATTCAAAGTGCAAGTTACTTTGGATTTCTCCTTTTTCTCTTTTACTAAGTGAAGCCATTTCCAGTGCCAGTGCCAGTGCCAGTGCCATATTCTCCATGTTATCACCACAAATTTACAACAACATATTAAGAGCAGAAAAAATGCGAGGCCAAATGAGTAAAAAATCAAAACCCAGTCAATTTCGAACAAAGAGGAGAAGGATTCAAAGGAGCCTAGGTCTGGCATGTGATGGCATTGCTGCAATAACCAGAAGGATCCTAGGACATTGAAGAGAATCTCCAAAAGAGAAGGCAGAAACCGAAACAACCCTGCATTCAGTCAACCACTTAACAGTACAGAGTCTACTGACAGACACAGACACATTATAGTGATAAAACAAAGCAAGCGACAGGCTTTTCTTCTCCCATTCTCCCTTTTACCCTTCTTTGCTACAACCTACAGATACACACCAAAATCCCCACTTGGCCTGTATTTCTCCATGAGAAAAACCGACCCTATTAATGTCTTACACACATCAGTAATTGCTAACTATCGGCTTCTTTCTTTACAGTACATCCCTTTTTCAACTGCTTCCTGCATTATATAGTACACTTTCATTTAATAACACCACAGCCACTTATTGCATTGACATTCTTATCATAATATACAATATTGTTACTCTTACCTCTTAAATTTTATAGTTTTTCAAGTTTTTACATGGTCTCTCACTCACTACTACTTCCTCTGCATTTGTCTCTAATTTTTTATTACTTCAGAGTTCAGAGACATTTATTTGGTTCTTTTACTTTGCTTGTTTCTTCATGGTCCTTTGTTTTGGCTCATGGGGTTTTGACGATCTCTTGCTTAACAGTTTAGTATTTCTTTTTGGGAGGCGTGTCTTTTTTATTGTCCCGGGAGAATTTCCTTGCTTTTGCCTGTCATTTACTTAGATTTTATCTTGTATTGAAGTCTAGAATTCAGTGAAGTTCTTCTCTTCTTTGACTTGTAATAGAAGTTCTCTTGTAATGGGGGTTCTTTTTTCTGTGTTTTGAATTCAACAATCCATGAAATTTAGAGTCTAGTACTTGAAATTTGTCTTCAATGGGGTGGTCAAGCTGGTTCCTTTTTGTCTATCTTTCGTGGGGTTTCTTTATTTCAAGTACTCACGAGTCACAAAATTATCAGCTACAGCTTCTTCTGCAGCTAAGAAAGCATTTGGAGTATCCTTCACAAATGGATATTTTGGAGGGTTACAATGGAGACCTTTGCAATTTATCTTCAAGTCCAAATATGAGAATTGTTTGCCTTGAAAATAATGTCACTGAGCTCCAAATTACGGGAGACAAGCTTGTCAAGGTTAGTAGTGACTTTCATGGATTTGCAATTCCTAATCAGACTTTATCTGAAAGTTTCTCAATTGATTCTTTTGTTACTACATTGACAAGGTTAACTAGCTTGAAAGTTCTTAGGTTAGTGTCTTTGGGGATTTGGGGACCACTTCCTGATAAGATTCACAGGTTGTATTCACTTGAAGTTTTGGACTTGTGCTCAAATTTTATGTTTGGTTCAGTTCCACCTCAGCTATCAAGACTTGTTAAGCTTAATTCTTTATCATTAGATGATAACTACTTCAATGGAAGTGTCCCTGATTGGCTGGATTCATTGTCAAATCTCACCATTTTGAGCTTGAAGAGTAACAGGTTTAATGGTCAGTTTCCTTCTTCAATATGCAGAATCACAACACTAACTGATATGGCCTTGTCTCACAATCAGCTTACTGGTAAATTGCCTGATTTGAGCACCTTAAGTAGCCTACATATGTTGGATTTAAGAGAGAACAAGTTAGATTCTGAGTTACCTGGACTGCCAAAAGAGTTGATTACAGTTCTCCTAAGCAATAACTCGTTCTCAGGAAAAATTCCTGGGCAATTTGGTCAGTTGAATCAGCTTCAACACCTTGATTTCTCTTCAAATCATCTGAGTGGAACACCTCCCTCTTCCTTGTTCTCCCTTCCAAACATCAGTTACTTGAATTTAGCATCCAATATGCTGAGTGGATCACTTCCAAATCATCTTAGTTGTAGCAGCAAACTTGGGTTTGTCGATCTTTCTTCAAACAAGTTCATCGGTGGACTTCCCTCTTGCTTGAGCAGTATGCTAGATGAGAGAGTAGTTAAATTTGGAGGGAATTGCTTATCCATTGATTCCCAAAATCAGCATCAGGAGTCATACTGCTCTGTGGCGAATGAGGAGGGGAAACGATCAAGATGTAGAGCGGTAGGAATATTAGTTGCTGCCATTGGCGGAGCTGTTCTTGTCATTAGTCTTTTGGCTTTTGTGGTTGTTATTTTGCGCAGAAGATACTGTTCTAGAAGGAAATTAGAGCAGAATATAATTTCCAAGGTTGAACAAGCCAATATACCAAATGGGGTTTCTTCTGAAGTCCTAGCAAATGCCAGTAAGTCATACAGCATTGCGAAGTTACCTTCTCTCTCTCTCTCTCTCTGTTTTTTTTTTTAATGCGTGATAATGTATGCTATACTGTTGTTTTCCTGATAAGGAATTCTTCTGCATGAATTAATTCATAACCTTTCTGTTCCTTTCAGGATTCATTTCTCAAGCAGCCAAGCTAGGGACACAAGGTGCCCCGGTATGCCGTGTATTTTCCTTGGAAGAGTTGAAGGAAGCCACAAACAACTTCGATTCATCATCAATTATGGGAGAAGGCTTGACGGGGAAGGTACTTCATGAGAACTCAAGTATTCTTGGAAAATTTAGTGGATAAATCTTTTTCCAACTTCTAGAACCATATTTGTGGTAATTTCTAAGCATTGTTTGCACTCTCTTGCTGATACTCTTGTTTATCAGCAAGAACAATATTTGTAGCAATTTCTAAACATTGTTTGCACTCTCTCGCGTGTCAGCCAGAACAATATTTGTGGTCTTTTTGTTAAACAAGTTTTTTGTGTCCATCTTATGGGGCCTATTCAATTTAATCTGTTTTATCTGTCAGATTTGCAAAGGAAGATTGGAGAACGGAACCTATGTTGTTATACGATGTCTGTCTTTGTCGAAGAAACATTCAATTCAAAATCTCAAGGTTCGCTTGGATTTGGTTTCAAAGCTGCACCATCCACATTTGGTTAGTCTGTTGGGTCATTGCGTTGACAGTGGAGTGCAAAATGATTCTAGTAGCACCAAAGTCTACCTTGTTTATGAATATGTGTCCAATGGAAACTATCGTACTCATCTATCAGGTCAGTACTGCTTTCTTTGGAGTTTGGAGCATAAGGTCACATACTTTTAATAGTACACAAACTTTTGTGAGTGTGTTTGCACTTCACATTGTTTTTCCGATTTATAAGCATAATGACCCTATAGAAGGACTTGCAACGTCTAAGCTGCAGCTATTACCATCTTTTACTTGCAGTAACTTTATCATTGGCTCTCTAGTCTCTACCAACTACTAATGCTGCTTATCCATGTGCAGAAACATGCCCCGAGAAAGGCCTCAAGTGGCCAGATAGATTGACAATTCTTATTGGTGTTGCCAAGGCTGTGCATTTTCTACATACCGGCGTGATTCCTGGTACTTTTAACAATAGACTAAAAACAAATAATATATTGCTTGACGAGCATCGGATTGCGAAGCTAACTGACTATGGAATGTCAATTTTCACAGACGAGATTGAAAAACCTGAGGTACATTTGGCAGCTACGTATATTATATTGTTTAACTTGTAATGGTATATATGTTCTGAGTGATTACTCCGATGCATTTCATCTGTTTTGTAGGCAAAGGGAGATGGCCTGAAATCAAGGTATTGATTCTACTTTGCTAAGCATTTTATGGGAGATGTTTTAGATAGATTGCACAAACATTTTAATTTTTAAAAGTTTGAAGTTTGTTTTCTGGAGATTCAGTATTAACTTCAATTGCTCATATAAATCTTAGCTTGGAAATTCGTAATACGGTTATGCGAGTAGATGCACAATTTATGGTTGATTCCTCATTTAGAGCTTCTGTATATTGTACTATGATTTGCATTGTAGAAGAAGAAATGGATCCTTAATGAAATGTCTTCAGCTGACAATGCATTCTTGAATTGAAACCATAGCTGAATGCCAACAACTACCACCACTGCTTCAGCTATTGATTCTGCTACAACTACCATAGTTGCCATTGATTCTGTCATGAGTCCACTAATGCTGACTGCATCCAAACTGCCATCACTGGAACCTTGTTCTTCTGAACTTCCTCTACCGTCAGTTGTGCCTCGTCATCACTCTAGTACCATTATCACTCTTACGGCACCCAAAATTTTTGTTCAACCACTGTCTATTGCTACTAACAATTTTTGTTACCATCAAAGTTGTTATCATTCTCTTGACACTGCAGTCTACCCACCACACTGCTGTTACTTGTCATATGTTGCAGTTGAGTGTAACATTTAGCTACTTACAGCAAATCTCTTTTGATTTCCTGAGTGATAGTTTCAAAAGTGAATTGGCGGCAGATGTATCTAATCAGCATAAAAGAGTAAAAAAACTTGTTTAGGTCACGGAAGAAATATTAACTGCCTAAGAAGTGTTTGAAATTTCCTTAACTGTTGAATTGCTGTTGCAGTGTCTTTAATATTTTGTTCCATTTTGCTGCAGTCACGGGATAAACTTACAGGATGATGTCTACAACTTTGGGTTTATACTGCTCGAATCACTTGTTGGCCCTATGGTAACTGGGAAAGGAGAAGCAATTTTACTAAATGAAATGGTATTGCAAAATCTCTTACATTCATGAATTTTCAATTTAATGAAACATTATTACATAGATACATATGGCTTTTAAGGGTAAATTTGCTTTGCTTACCATTTCTACCATTCAGCTGAGTGGTTAGTTCTAGTTTGCCATTCCATTTTCCAGTTCTTTCAAGCTTCCATTTTTATCCCTTGAAAATCTGTGTTGAGGTTTTATGCATTGTTGTACATATAAATATTATGGTTCTTAGCATGTAAGTTTTTTTTTTCATTTGACGGTAAGGGTATCCTCGAGCCAGCTTGCACATCAACCGAGATTAAGTTTCTCTGCATTCAGAAGAATTTAATTGATCCTCTTGGGTGCTGGAAGTGGGATCTTGTTTTCCTTTTATTTCTCACACACTTGCTTTAGTCCTATGAATTCTTACCTTGATTTTATTTTCAATTTGCTTTGATGACATATCTCTGAGACATGGTGTTACAAATTGCAGGCATCCTTTGGAAGCCATGATGGTCGAAGACGAATTGTGGATCCAATTGTCTTAACAACTTGTTCACAGGAATCATTATCAATTTTGGTTTCCATCACGACTAAATGCATATCTCCTGAACCATCAACTCGTCCTTCTTTCGAGGATGTCCTCTGGAACTTACAGTATGCAGCTCAAGTCCAAGCCATGGCTGATGCTGATCAGAAATCAGATTCTACATTATAGTTGTTACTTATGTGCAGTGCTATACCTGAGATTAAGGCAATAAGCCTTTAGATATAACGTTGATAGGATGCAAATATAGCCATGTGGAATGGGGCTCTGTAAACTCAGAAGGCAGGTGTATATTCAGGCAGGTTTTATTTCATTCAGATTTAGAAATGTGAAAGTTGTAAATGTTATATTTGATTGGTTGGCCATTAAGCATAGCTGAATTCTTCCTTTTGAAATAGCAATTCCAGTGGTTCAAATATTTTGTCATGGGAATTTCGATTATAAAAGATTTAAGGACTGAAATGGACTGCAGTTACTAATCGTCAGGGGATGTGGCGCTTTGCAACATTCTTCGAAATAGCAATTTGATTATACTGGAAAACCAAAACAAAAAAAATGCAAATATATATATATATGCATACCCTTTGAAAATTGAAGTCTGTCATGTAGAGCTTGCTACTTGGCTTTTCGTGCTGCGATGCGAGTCAAAATAAATATATTTATTTTAATTTGATAATATGTATTATACTATCGATTAACAAAAATATATTAAATTAAATTAAAAATAAAATTTCGTCTAATTTTATAATTTTTAATCAAAAATTTACATCTATTTTATTTTTATTTTTTAAATAATTTTGTAGTTAAAAAAACACAATTTATTCTTTTTTATGTATTTATTCTTAAAAAAATCCATAACAATCTAAATATAAAATTAAAAAAATTAATATTTTTTATAATATTATATCAAAGAAATAAAGAACATAAAAACTTGAATAAAAATTAATAAATATTTTTTTAATTCGTGCTTAATACTATTGAGAAGAATTATTATTATTATTATTATTTTAAGTATGTACATTTGATACACACACACACACACAATAGTATTAGTATAAACAAATTGTATTTAAATTATTAGGTGATACTTATATTTTTTTAAAAAATTCAAAATATAAAAAATAATATTATTGATTGGTGTCATGAGTGTAGATGTATAGTTAATTTTTAATAAAATCAATAATTCTAATATATATTTTTTTATGCATCATGAGCGTACCTATTGGGTCAAAATATACAACATAAATTGATTTTTAAAAAATAAATTTAAATTATAAAAAATATATTGAAGTTAGTAGGATGCAACAACAAAAAATGGTTTTGACAAAATTTGATTATATATATATATATATATATATATATATATATATATAAAGCAAATAAAAACAACTAAAAAAATACTTATTTAAAAATCTATACATAATATAAAATAAATCATATTTATTAACAAATAAAACTACATAAAAAAATTAATGTGATGAGAATTTTTATAAGAAATTGAAGATATTAATTTTAAACATATATATATATATATATAAGGTAAATCAAGGAAGAAAGAAAGAAAAAAAAAAGAAAAAAAGAGGTGCCTGCTGCAAGGCCAATGCAGCAGGCCAAGAGATCAAACAGTCCAAGAGATTAAATTTTATTTTAAGACTTCAAGGATCAAAATAAAATAGTGTAAACTTCAGATATAAATGTTAAAAAATAGTTGAAAACTCACAAAAATGCCATTCTGATATACAGTTTATGAATAATGAAATGCGAGAGAATCAACAGTGACTTTTACTGTTGAAAATCGCCACTTCTTTTGATAATACCAAATGCATGTTGAGGAATTGGCACTTTGGCAGAGTAACTTGTGTCTTGCGGGAAAAGCCTTCCTTCCTATTCACCGTTGGTTTCTGATTTCTTCTGGAAAAGTTACTTTCAAATGCACCCAAAGCTCTCAGACTTGGTGGTTTCTGACATGACGTGATCTTGGTACATTGATGGAGTCTTGACGTTGGAAAGTCATGGGTTGACGTTTGGGAAGAAATTCCATTTTAAGTTACAGATGGGCTTCTAGAAAGAGACTCAAAATGCTGAAACTTAAAAGAGTGTGCACCTAGGAACTGTTTCAAGGCTGTCTGAAACTATATTTAGCAAACATCAACTCCAGCTGGCTGAACTTTAACTAAAGGTTTGGCTAGGCTCATGATATGGAGGTGGTTTTGAAATATATATATATATATATATATATATATATTTTTTATCTAGATCCTTAAAATTATAATTTATTGTTTTGGAATTTTTTCTTAATATTTTTGAATTTTAGTATTTGTTTGCTTTTCAAAATGCTTTAGGGTTTTGATTAAAAATTTACTATTTATACATGACTTGGAGGTTGAAAAACGTCATTTTTGTTTGATTAATAAACTTTTGTTAAAGTATCTTAGTTTTTTAAATTTTCGACATTCTTTGAATCAACGGGATTAAAATCTATTTTTGAATATTTATGTATGTAATTCACATATCGTAATAGATTAGTATCTGAATTTTAAATCAACAGTATTTATCTTTTTCTTTTGAGTTCCGTTACGTCAATTTCTCTCCTAATCTATATCGAACATGTTGCCACTTTTACAAGTATATATCATGGAAGAACAAGGGAAAATGTTTTTTGCTCCTACATTGATGGTTGTTGTGGAGAGTCTGTCATCAGGTAGACATGCGAAGCTTCAAAAATAAGGAAATGGAGGGCTGTCAAATCCTACCTGAAAAACTATTAACTTTTAAACTTATAACTAAAGGCAATGAAGATTACAATGCACATACAATGGTCACAGCAAACAAAAATTAAGATAGTAATACATGATTTTAATAATCTGGACTGAGACATTTCAACTCTCTTGGTAATTTAAGTCACTTTTGCTTTGAGTTTAAGGGCAAATTCTCTGGTTAACTACAATATTTAGTACCATTTGCGTTGAAGGGCAAATTTAAGTCATAATTTTAATATTTAGATGTAAGCACAGTTTTCTTTATTTCTTTTTGGTGTTGAGGATCCACATTCACATGGAAGCACGGCTGAAGATGGGTGGAACTACATGTTGGCCATCATTTTATGACGACTGATGCACCTTACAGTTAGTTAGGTGGCAGGCCTTGCGTCATTCTCAAGCTCCTGTAAAATTAACGGTTTAATCACACATTCTACTGTTAATTATATATTTTTTAAAAAATATTTTTAACCTCCTAATCTTAATTTTTTTTAAATTTATTTATAAAATATTATAAACATTCTATAAATTATATAAAAAAAGATTTTATAAATGCTTTTAACATCCTGATTTTGAATTTTTTTTATAAAATATTATAAATATTTTATAAAAAATATATATTTTTTATAATTTATAAAATTAGAAGAATCAACTCTTAATAATTCTCATTTTAATCTATAAACTGTTTTAAAGGTCTAAATTATGTATTGTTAATTTTGTTTTTTTACAATAATATTTTATACAAAAATTTAAAATTAAGGGTTAAAAATATGTATAAAATGTTTATAATATTTCATAAGAGAAAAAAATTTAAGGTTAAGGAATTTAAAAAAATATAATTAATCATGAAATATTAAAATGACATCTTTTTTAACATTTTAAGTATATATAACGGAGATTGGATCATTTGGATTATATTTATCTAATTTTTAATATTTTAAAATTTAAATTATATAATTTAATACTATAAAGTTAAAATAGTCAAATTACAATATCAAAATTTGCTATTAAACCTAAAATTTACAAAGAAAAAAAAAGTTGAGGGCTAGGTCATTCTCTATTAAATTTAATATATTTATATATTTTAAGCAAAAGAATAACATGAAGTCGGAGCCTACTTTTGTAGCACATGAATGCAAATTCCCAAATGCTAATGATAGCTAGCGTGGGGCCTCATGTCCTTGACTGAAAGCAGCATTAGTGACGCATAGATAAATCACGTCGGCGAATAAAGACAACCATCTATGAAAATGAGGCTAACAGTAACCCCACGCGCACCAACCCAACTGAGCTGTCAATTCACCTCCAGTTCGGTTGTTACTCTACTTACCTCTGCTCGTTACTTCGGATCACTCTCCACCGCACGCTCAGTCATCATTTACACATTTGGCTCGGGACTATTTTGTCAAGCTAGCTCTAGAGAGCGCCCCTAGGCCCTAGGTATCGCGACCCGAGTTTGAAATATAGGAATGTTTATTTGGTTATTTTTAAAATATTTTAGGTGGTTTTTAATTAATCGAATTCTAAAAAAAATTAATAATTGAAACCAAATCAAAATGTTATTCAGTTTTTTTACGTGGTTTTAAAATATTTTGATTTCAATAATTCGATTTTTATTTTTTTATAAATTATTGATTTTATTAAAGTTTCTGAAATCTTTATTTAAAATGTATTTTTTTCTATTTTATGAATTATTAACTAGAAAACTATGTTACGTTAAAAAAATACAAATACATTAATAGATAAATAAATAATAAATTATTTATTCAAAAAGGTTTGAATTGTGAGACGATAGAAAATTTATCAATTTCTTTGCTATTTTGCTTATATCAAGACTTATATGGCAAAAACAAAGAGAATTTGTATGAAATTGTGAGATAAAATGCATCTAGAGAGAAAGGTTTATCAATTTGGGGATGGAATATATTGTTTTTCGGTTAATTGATTTTTTAAAAAAATAACCAAATCCAAATCTAAAAATTAAAATTATTTTAATTCATTTTTTTAATTTCTAAAAAATTTCATCAAAATTAATATTTTGATATGATTTATCCAGCTCTTCGATTTTCTTCCAATAATGCTCATTCCTCTTCAAATCCTAAGCAGACTGTGGATGATAAAGTAGAGGAAAGTGAGGATGACGTCAAGCAAAATGCCCCTGCCGTCAGTGCATGATTAGTGCGTGCTTTACAAACTCTCTCATAACGCGTTAAGTTTTACCAATCCTTATCTAACCTTTTTCGTTAATTAATTAGTTAGTTTAAAGACAGCAGTAATACATGGTGGGGAGCTAGTTGTGCTCTCAAGGTATCATTCCCCAAACAAAAGAGATAAACCACAAAATTACAATTAAACTGTAATTTTTTTCAGAAACGATTTTTTTTTAAAAAAAAGTTGTAATATGAGTTTCCGGTTTTTGTAAGACAGGTAAATCCTTTGTTTGTATTTCTAAAATTTGTGAAAAAAAAGAAAAAGAAAAAGAAAAAAACCGCAACTGATATCAAATACCTCGTCATTGTCAAGCTGATTCCTTGTAATTAAATTAATGAAATAAAAAAATAATTAAATAATTAATTAGGTAAATTGTGCTCTATGTTGGTGTCGGCTTTGCTTTTTATTCACTACTTTTATTTAATTATTTTGAATTTCTTATTACCAGACAAGACATTCTCTTTTTTCTCTCTGAGTCTCACTCACCAACGCAGACACACAAACCAGCTTCTTCTCTGAGTCACAGAGAGAGAAAACAAGGTTTACTAATGACAAAAAATCCGAACCGCAACATTTTGTTGTTTCTCTCACTACTCCGATTTCTCGGCTTCTAGGTAAATAAAATACCTGAAAAATGCGAAATTTGTTCTGCTTTCATTTTCATCTACTACTCCATATACGCACAGCTTTGCTATACTTCAGGTTTCTGTTCTACTTTTGATGCCTGCATTTTAATGTTTCTCTTTTGTACTTGCTAGTTCTTGTAGAAATTTGAGATTTTTTTTTTTTTTTGATAAATTTTGGTTATTTTCATGTGGATCTAGTGTCACCATGATCAAGTGCTTAGAAACTTGTTGCTTTTTTGTTTTAGTTGGATTTATTTTGGTTACTCGAGCTCTCTTTGTAGAACTAGATTTCTGTTGGGTTTAATCTTCTTTTTTACTTGCATTTTAATGAGCTAAATATCAATTTTAGTTTTGTTCATTAATTAGTTGTTAGTACTATTTATTTATTTATTTATTTTACATAATTTGGAGATTTTTACCATGCAGATATTTTATTGGCTTTTGGTTATAATGATTCAAAATTAGTTGTTTCAAGAATTTGTTTTGCTTTTTTTTTTTTTTTCATCATAGCTTTGAGGTGTGGATTTTATCTTTAATGATAATTTACAGTGTTGGCTTAAACTTTGTAGATAGGAGATGCATGTTGCCCTGCTTGGTTGTTTAGAAAGCTGGGCAAGGAAACATTATAACATTTTGAGTGTTTCTTAATTTTTGGGTTCTTAACTCAAATAGTTGCGCTAAGCTAAGTTTGAGTGGGATGTCACATTTTGGAAATAAAACCTTTGAATGACAATATTCTTTTGTATCATGAATCTATGAAATCCTTTAACATATTAGTTCTACATGTTTTCTGGGTTATAGGATCTTGGAGAGTTGGAGTCTGTATAATTAAACAACCATAATAACATTGCCGCGGTTTTTGGATTTGGTGGTTTCCAAGTGTATGCCCAGAAATGATTCTAGGTATGAATACAAAGAGCAGGAGAAGTTCCTCAGTTCAGGTTGATTATTTAGTGCACGTTGAGAATATTAAGCCTTGGCCTCCATCTCAATCTCTGAGATCCCTTCGTTCAGTCCTCATTCAGTGGGAAAATGGTGATCGCAATTCTGGGTGTACCAACACTGTTGTTCCTTCACTTGGGACTGTTGTTGGTGAGGGGAAAATCGAGTTCAATGAGTCTTTTAGATTGCCGGTGACTTTGTTAAGAGAAATGCCTGTTAAAGGCAAAGATACTGATACCTTCCAGAAGAATTGCTTAGAATTCAACTTGTATGAACCTCGAAGGGATAAGGCTCAATTGCTGGCAACCGCTGTTGTAGACTTGGCAGATTATGGGGTCATCAAGGAAACCGTAAGCCTAACTGCTCCAGTAAACAGCAAGCGGAGTTTTAGGAGCACACCTCAGCCTATTTTGTACTTTAAAATCCAGCCAATTAACAAGGGTCGCACCACCTCCTCATTGAGAGACACCTTATCAAAAGAGGTATCAATGGAGAAGAATAGTGGTGAATCAGTTTCAGGTTTAATGAATGAAGAATATGCTGAAGAAGCTGAAGTTGCCTCTTTCACTGATGATGATGTATCGTCTCACTCGTCTCTGGCAAATGGGGGTTTGCCTCCTCAAAATGAAGAGGTACTCATGTTGTTTCTTTAGATTCACTTTTCAAATCAAGTATTCAATTCTGATTCTCTGCATCAGTCAAGCAGTTTGGCCTGCATCAACTTTCTACTCTTACGAGTCCTCAAAAAAACAAGCAAACAAAAAAGCTTCCACTTTCACGGCTATCATTGACAAATAATAACCTTGTTTAATCATTAAGCTCCACCAGTATCCAGAAACTACAAATGAACCAACTTTGAATAGCTACGAATCATCAGATCATGTTCTGATCAAATGCTGTCAAGACAGCTTATTTTAAGTTTTTGGTGCAATTATGTTTTTCCAGATGGTGTTCCTCTCTTAGGAATTATACATGAACATCCTCTTGAGCTTCTGCCTCTGGATGATCGTCCTGTAAAATTAGTTTGCATAGTAACAGATAACTTAACCCTTCATATGGAATTGCAGAATGGATCAGGCAGAATGAATGACAGCAAGCATGGGGTTAACAGGGAGCCTACTGCAGCTTCACAAATTGAGATGGAAAAATATACTGCACCACAAGAAAAGCTGAAAAGAAGTTCCTCTTATTTGTCATCCATAGATTTATCCTCTGATGCTGCTAGCCCAGTCAATGGTCATACTTCTGTAATGAACTCTGCTATCTCTAGTTCATCGTCAATTCTGAAAGATGATGTTTCTCAAAGTGTTTCTTCTTCTTCCCCATCCTTCACTTACGAAAGTAAAGAGGAAGAGGCTAATACCAGCAAGAGGAGCAATGGCCATCAGGAGTTGCTGCATGAAATTCATGGAAAGGTGGCTAATAGCATAACCACAATTAGGAGGGATGAAATTTGCCAGAACAATAATGGGAATACATCTTCAGATATAAATCCCCAGGTGGGTGCAAAGCATGGCTCTGCAATACCTGGTGATTTTCAAGTAAATGAAGAAGGCAGTCAGAATGGTGAAGACCAAAAGCATCTCTCAGAAGATGAAACAATTGATAATTTTCCATATGATGCTAGAGATGATGACTCGCTGGCAAGAGATACATTTAATTCACCTTGGGGCGTTGATACGAAGGTAAATATCCTTAAAATTGATAGATTAAAGCATGTGAAATCTGTTAGGTCATCATCAGACTCAGTGAGAAGCAATGGATTAAGTAGCAGAAATCAGCACAATGAAGTTGGTCCGATGGGAGATGCACATCACAGTGCTGGGAGCCTTAGATTTATTGAAATAAAAAATGCAAAGGTTTACCCAAAAGATACCAGAACAACCATTTTAGATGGAAAAATCCAGCAATTGGAACACAAAATAAAGATGCTTGAGGGAGAGTTGAAAGAAGCTGCTGCTATTGAGGCTGCTCTTTACTCTGTTGTTGCTGAGCATGGAAGTTCCATGAGTAAGGTTCATGCTCCAGCTCGCCGCCTTTCTAGACTCTATCTTCATGCTTGTGGAGAAAGTTCCCAGTCAAGAAGAGCTAGTGCAGCTAGAAGTGCCATTTCAGGACTAGTTCTGGTTGCAAAAGCATGCGGAAATGACGTCCCTAGGTACTTCTAATTCACATCCTTTTCTACATTTCCAGGCATCTTTCACCATGCAGTTATATCCATTTCGACATTATAAAGTATGTGAAGTTGGATTCCTGTTAAAGTTATCAGTCTCCTCATGTTGGACCCAAGAAGTTATCCCATCTGGTTTGACTGAGTGAATTAGTGCACCTGTCCTTGCTCCACAAAAAATTGGAAGCAAAGGAGGAATATATATTTTTTTTTCACTTTAGTTTGGCTAGAATGCCACAACTATGAGTATGAACCATGGTGTGTTTTTCAACCTGAAAACATCCAGTAGAGGAAATAGAATTGTTTAAAACCATCTTTCAGGTAGTAATATTCATGCTACTGCTCCTCCCATTATTAATGCTATGGAGTATAATTGTACCTTTGTTACTATCTAACAGATATTCCCAAAATTTTCTTGCAAGCTCATGTTTTAGGCTTTTATTTTAAATTCAGGTTGACATTTTGGTTGTCAAACTCTGTTGTTTTGAGAACAATTATAAGCCAAACTATTGGTGACCCAGAGAGAAAACTTACTTCTGGACCACATAAAGAAAGGAATTGGGATGGAAAGGGAAACAAGATCGTATCTTCACTAAATTGGAAAGAGTCATCTCCCAGCCGAAAGGGAAATAGGAATGTTCTTTATGGAGATTTTGGTGACTGGGAGGACCCACATGCATTTACATCTGCACTGGAAAGAGTTGAAGCTTGGATCTTCTCCCGTACCATTGAGTCAATCTGGTGGCAGGTTCGACAGTACTTAATCCTGTTCTCTGTTTTTCTTTGCGTATTTCTCAGTATGGATACTATTTTTAAAAACTTTCAAATTTTGCTTCTTTTATATTACTTGACGTGAATCTTTTTCTTGGTTCTGTAACAGACTCTTACCCCACACATGCAATCTGCCACTACAAAGGAAATTGTTGGACTTGATAGTTCTGGCTCAAAGAAAAACCTTGGAAGGACATCAAGGTCGGTTCATGAAGACCAAGGGAACTTTTCATTAGAGCATTGGAAGAAGGCATTCAAGGATGCCTGTGAAAGACTTTGTCCTGTTCGAGCTGGAGGTCATGAATGTGGCTGTTTACCCGTGCTGGCAAGACTGGTAAATCTATAAATAGTTATATTTGTTTTTATACACCCACTTACAAGTTACAGCACGTGATCGACCAACATTTTGTATGGCCATTTGATGGAATTAAAACAACATATGGCATTGCTTTTACTGTGTAAATGGAAGGAATATTTAAAAATATCTTAAACCGAAAGTGTTAACCTGTCAAACTCATATGGTTGGTGACAGCATGTTAGTTTCATATTGTTTTCAACTAATTTACAATATTTAACGATATTAATGAATTGATTGTTGTCTTTTATTATGCTTTTCCAACTCCTGATAATTTGTTTCTGCAAACAATATTGCATGACAATATCTTAATTTTATGTATCTAGATAATGGAGCAATGTGTTGCTAGATTAGATGTGGCAATGTTCAATGCCATTCTTCGTGAATCTGATGATGAGATCCCAACTGATCCAGTATCTGATCCCATCAGTGATTCAAAAGTTCTCCCAATTCCAGCAGGGACATCAAGCTTTGGGGCTGGTGCACAACTGAAAAATGCGGTGAGGAGAAAATTCTGACATGAAAGCCTAATCTAAGTATCAGCAGAACTAAAGGCTATTTGTGTTTTAGGTCACTGTTTTTGTTTCGTTTGACCTTCATTTTGGTCTTTTTTGGCTAACTGTCTCTTAAAATTGCAGCCATTTTGTTATAAAATGGAAGCTAAGCACATTTCTTTTTTGAAATTTAAGGACAGGACAGTCATGTCAGATAACCCACAACATCTACAAAAGTTGTGCTTGATGTAACCTTTCTTTCTCTCTCATTTCCAACTCGAAAATGCATGTCAAGCTTCTCAAAAAAAAAAAAAAAAGGCTTTTCATGCTACACAAAACATTTACATACCATGCATGGAGATGACATTTAGACGCCGCATGTCCATTTGTCTTTCCAAATTGTTAATAAATCATACCGGAAGACCAGACTTGTTGACAACAACAGACCATTTGAAAACCCATTAACCTGGATCGTTGGCGATGGTGTTTAAGGTTTTCTATGGATATAACTATTGAAGTAATTTTGCTTGTATTTTTTGAATTTCAGATTGGGAACTGGTCAAGATGGCTGACTGATCTATTTGGTATGGACGATGATGATGCACTTGAAGATGACAATGAAAATGATGAGAATGGTGAGAGACAAGACATGACATTCAAGTCTTTCCATCTCCTTAATGCTTTAAGTGATCTCATGATGCTCCCAAAGGACATGCTCTTGAGTAAATCCATCAGAAAAGAGGTTTGACATAAATCCTTCATTCATCTCAAGCTCAACATACTCACATCCATCCTTCATCTCAAGCTCACACGAGCCATGTTTCCAATCCTTACTTACAGTTGGATTATTTTTGAAGGTATGCCCCACATTTGCTGCACCATTGATCAAGAGGGTTCTTGACAATTTTGTCTCAGATGAGTTTTGTCCAGATCCTATCCCAGATGTTGTGTTTGAAGCCATGGACACTGAGGTTAGTCACATTCAAAATGAATTGGATATGTTTTGCTTCTGTAATTATCAGTGGTTCTACTCAAGTATATTCCTGGAGGTTGACAACACTTGGCATGAATCATTTTACATGGGCACATTTGTCAGTGAGTTGGTTTTGGTTCCAAAATATACAAGCCAATTCAATATCTGTTGGTAAATTGGTAAATTATCGAACTGAGACCCAATCCTTGTTGGTTATTACTGAAATGTTATAAAAGAGTTGCACCAAAAAATATATATATATATATCTTAAAACATGAACAGAAAAATCTGGAACACCAGAATTCTGAATTAGTTGTTGCATCTGTTCCAATGATAAATTTGCTGGTTTTGAGTTGACTACTCGAAAATTAAACCTGCCTTGAATTGGCTCTGTTTTAAAGGTAGCTAGAAGCAACCTAGATCAAATTGCATCCCCTTATCTACATTGCATTTTAAGATTACTGTATTCTCACCACCATGAATTAGCTGATTAAGAGTACTGTGTAGTCTCAGCACCAAGAATTAGATTCTATGAGTTTCTGAGATCATAAGCAATCATCTTCCTTTTTATTTCATGTAGGATGCTATTGAGGCTGGTGAGGAGTCTGTCACAATAGTACCATGCGTTGCAGCTCCTCCAATCTATTTACCACCTTCAGCAGCTTCCATTGCCAAAATCGTTGGAGAGTTTGGAAGTAAAACTAAGCTGAGAAAAAGTGGCTCCTCGATTGTCAGAAAATCTTACACCAGTGATGATGAGCTTGATGAGTTGCATTCACCTTTGGCTTCAATCTTACTTGATGGGGCGCGATCTTCACCTGCCCCAACAAAACCCATCTGGAAATCAAAGAAGGGCTTTGACAATACCATAAGATATGAACTTCTCAGAGAGATATGGATGAACAGTGAGTAGCTGTATATGTAAATTCACATGTCTATACAAATAAAGTATGATTCTGCTTTGTTTGTTTTTTAGTAGTAAATGAGCAGTCAAGGTTTTGGTTCAGGTTCATTTTGCTCTCTTGCATTTGTAAAAAAGAAAATGCAATCTTGTAGCTTTAGAGAACATCTCAAACCTTAATCTAGAAATGGAGTGCCTGATTTAGCATTTTGAAGAGATATCACCCTTTTCATGACCATTGTGATAACCTGATTTTTAATCCCAAAAAAATCTCCTAACATTTCAAAAAAATTTCTATACAAATTTTCAACAAAATTGTGTTGTCACCCAAATTTTGACCCTTGTTTATATTTTGTAAGGTTTTGCTTTTTAGTTATAATTTTCTTTAGGAACTCCATGTTTTTTGAGTTTAGAAAAACTAACAAAAGCAAAAAATAATAAACAAACGGAAAAAAAAGATAAGTAGAAAAATTGGGATTTTGGGTTCTATTTAAAAAAATATGGAAGATTAGGATTAAGGAAATTTTAACTGGAGACTTAATTGAAAACAATTCCAATTGGAAGTGTGTTTAAAGAGAAAATGAAGAGATAGGATTAGAAGTTGAGAAAAGAGGAAAAGAGAAGGAAAAATTGACATTTTACCCAAAATCCTAAAACCTCAATATAACCTTTCTTTCTCTCACTTAAAAGGGTGGCTGCTTCATTTTCTTTCATAAAAAGAAATTTACACAAAATACTCTTAAAAAACCTCAAAACTTCTATAGCCACCACCACTCAATCTCCACACCATTATACAAAATAATCTAAAACTGCTTACCTCAACCTAAAGGAAAAGCATCATATGAAGGAATAAAATAAAAAATAAAATTGTTTTCCTCCAATCTAAAATCCTAAGATCATCATTGAATCATATAATTATATTAAAAGATCATTTAGATCGTTACCTTTTAAAGTACGATAACGAGGTAGCGGATTGAATTATCTTAAGTACTCGATCTCTAACAAAGATTCATGCAATTTAGACACCAACACAAGAGAAGCGACAAAAATAAGAGCATTAGCTCCATTTTCTTTCTACTATAAAGATGCATACTTTTTCTCTCCAAGGGAAAGATTTAGCGAACTCACTCTCTCTTGAGTTGTGTGGCTTGATGTATTTTATTCTTTTATAAACCCTCCTTTAGGTTTACTGAATTTTTCCTAAAAGTTCTTAAAAATGCCTATTCACTTAAAATATTCATTGTAGGCTTTCACTTAATCCTATTGACTTAACACACCTTGAACCCAATGACTCGACAATTAAATGAACCATACAAATAAGTCAGGTCCGGTAATTTAAGGAGTCCAATTTAAAAAATTATTTCCTAAATTAACCCTATTGAATTTTGGGAAATGATTTTTCCAAAATTCTCTAGTGCTTAAAGAATTTTTCATATAGTTTTTAAAAATACACATTGTAGGTTTTCACTTAATCCTATTGACCTAACACACCTTGAACCCAATGACTCGGCAATTAAATGAACCATACAAATAAGTCGGGTCTAGTATTTTAAGGAGTCCAATTTAAAAAATTATTTCCTAAATTAACCCTATTGAATTTTGGGAAATGATTTTTCCAAAATTCTCTAAGTGCTTAAAGAATTTTTCATATAGTTTGATGATATATATATATATATGAAAAATTCAAAAAAAATACTAATCTGTTTTCTATAATTTTAACATCCAATTTCATAACTAAAAATGGATTTTGCTTCAAACCCACCAAACCAATCTCTTTAATGCATTCCAAAAACAAGGCATGAAAACTGGTCTTGGTAGAACATTCGTATCCATCTTTGCGACTTATAACCTAGCATTAAGTGAAGCTTGCCTTTAGTCTAATCCCTTTGTGATGTAGTTTGAGCTCATGTCAAAAAAAAAGAAGAAAGATAACATGAATTACCATATAATAACAAATTAACTAAGTTATTTAATTATTTGTTATGGACAAATTGAATATATATATATATATATATATATATATATATATAAACATTCGTATACATCCTTGCGACTTATAACCTAGCATTGAGTGAAGCTTGCCTTTAGTCCAATCCCTTTGTGATGTAGTTTGAGCTCATGTCAAAAAAATTAAGAAAGATAACATGAATTACCATATAATAACAAATTAACTAAGTTATTTAATTATTTGTTATGGATAAATTGAATATGTATATATATATATATATATATATTATCGTCAAACTATATGAAAAATTCAAAAAATGATTTTTTATAATTTTCACATCTAATTTCATCATAAAAAAATAACAATAAAAATAGATTGTTGGAACAAAAAAAGAAAAAAAAAAACAAAAGCCAGGTCAGCATGCTTGGGTCTACTTATGGAGGCCTGCACGCCAAGCCAGACTCAACTGTTGGGCTTGCATATGAAAGTTCTCATTTAAAAATCATAAGAATCTATAATATAAATTATAATAATATATTTAAAAAAAATATTTTAAAATTTTGTTTATATATAGATATATTTTGAATGAGAATTTCGATAAGAAAAAATAAATTTTAAACAATAAAAGTATTATAATTTGATATATATTGTCAAACTGTATGAAAAAATTTGAAAAATACTAATTGGTTTTCTATAATTTCATAATAAAAAAATTAAAAACAAATTGTTGTAAGAAAAGAAACAAAGGCCAAGTCCACACGCTTGGGTCTACTTGCGCAGGTCTACGCATTAGGCCAAACTCGATTGTTTGGACATGCTTATGAGGGTGTCGCACTAGGCCTATATATATATAATTGAAATTGTTTTGAAAAATAAGAGTTATTTTTATCAAGTATTTTTTAGAAGTAACTTTTCTAAGTATAAAAAGAAAGTCTTCTGGAACACGTTTAAGGTTTTATAATTCTTGATTTTCTTAGGTTTTCAGAGACAGACTCAAACTCTTCCTCTAACTGTTTTTCCAAAAAGATTTTTAAAAGGCTTGAGTCTTCGGATTGTTTTTCTTTGAGCTCCCTAAGCTCATATATATATATATATATAACTGTATGAAAATTTTTAAAAATACTAATTGGTTTTCTATAATTTCATAATAAAAAAAATTAAAAATAAATTGTTAGAAGAAAAGAAACAAAGGCCAAGTCCGAACCCTTGGGTCTACTTCTGCAGGCCTGCACATGAGGCCAGACTCGACTATTTGGGCTTGCTTGTTAAGGCTGCGCACTAGGCCAGCCCGTACACTTGGGCCTACCTGCATATTAAATCCTCCAAATCATCACCACCTTCCTCTTGTCCTTCTTCTTTTATTTTCTTTTTAACTTTTTAAAAAAAAATGTTATAGGCATGGATATGAGCTTGCACTCACACTGTTTGGGCCTTTAACCTAAAACCTAGTTGCCAACTTGCCTTGTATTACGTTATAATGTTAGGAATTTTGTTAGGAATTTGTATGGTCCAAGACTGGGTTGACAGAGCGCCATTATAGCTTAAGTGGAAGTTTGTGTCCCGTAACATACGTCTGTATCTGAAGTTGGAAATCAGAATGCTAAAACATTTCTCCAGTAGCACCATACTCCTAGGATAAGAGCTTAGGGTTCTTCCCGCGCTATAATCTTTTCGTAGGCCCATGTTACTTGCAGGCGTTTAAAAAGAGTAAGCAAGCCGGCAGCTTCAACGAATCAGTCCAAAAGTTTGGGTTGGTTGCCGATATCTGAGTTGCTATACTCCTTTTTTCCAGGAGAGGGATTTGAATCTATAAACTTTTTAACTCCTGTTTCTTCAGCCTTGACCATGGAGTCCTTCACTGAATCAATCCTACATAATTCATACGCCGTCTCAGTGTCTAAAAGTTGAAAAAAGAGAGAAAAAAAGGGAACAAGCCCATGTAACTAAATTAGTGTGCTGGACAGAATAAATTGAAACACAATCTACACCACAAATCAGTGACAAAAAGCAAAGATACATAGCTATAAAATCACACGTGCTGGTGTTCTTTGCTGTATAAAATCAGTGACAAAAAGCAAAGAAACGATCTCAAAATTGCCAAACGGCTTAGACAAACTAAACTTCAAAAAGATTCAGAAATCCAATCGGACTATGACACACAAACTCGTGTGGTGCTCACATTATACGTATTTACTATACTATGCCTGCTTGGCGATGAAACCGAGGCAGTCATCGACTCATCATCTTGTATGGAAGAAAAATCAAGCAGCCAGTTTTGGTGAAGAACTAACAGCACTCAGATGTTTGAGATGTAATGCAGCCAGCAACCCTTGCCATGTTTCTCCTGGTCCGCCTGCCACTTGAAAGTCAAGAAGCTTCTGCTGTTTCCTGTAGTATTCTTCTAATGCCTTGCCCTGGTAAAAATAAAACAAATTATTTATTGAGCATATGACCAAATTCCATTCTCTTGTCTGAATAAAATACTAACTTGAGCTTGAATTTTCACCACTTAAACCCATAGAACTCAAAAAATTGTTTGACAAGGCGAAGAGATTTTGTGGCTATTCTTTCAAGCAGAAAATTTGAGATAATATCAACTCATTCTGCCTTTGATGTAACCATATTACAATAATGATATGACGAAAGAACTGAATAAATGCTCCAAGACTCAAAAATTTACATGCAGTTTTGCACTGAGGAAGAAAAATACATGAGCACGAAAACAGCTATCAGTAACAAAATGCAATTCCAATGCAATTAGTAAAAAAAAATACAACCTTTTCAGAGCCATCTAGGATGCCAAACATAAGAAAATAGATGAACATTGTTTTCGACAAACACAAACTCATAATCACAAAAATGAACACATTAAAACAATAATATTGCCAAACCTAATTCAGAAACCAAAAAGATCATTTTGTACCTGCTCTGCATATATGCGGAACTTTTCATTTGACACCCTTCCCGCATCTGCAACAGAGTAGCTAGAATTTTCTGCAGTTATAAAATTCCTTTTCACCAAATTCCCTTCACCGCTTTTAAAATTCACAACCAGATCAATATCAGCAATTTGGTCAAGAATCTCCTGCAAAGAAAAATCCCTCCATTTCCTCAATCATCATAAAAAAAAATATGCCATAATTTCAACAACATATAAATAAAGCACCACCAAAAGGTGTTAAAAAACAAAAAACAAACTCCCATTCTTTCAACAGTCCTCATAATTCTACCAATTAAAACAAAACCCCACAATCACCCACACGAACAGGCACACATGCTTGTTAAACACAAAAGGCTATAATCAGAAAACAAGAGACTTACAGCCTGCATTCTCGTTCGCGGTATTCCATCCAAAATAAACCCATTTTCACCTCTATAATAACCCTCTTCAAGCCTCTTTGATAACAACCCAAAAATCACATCTTCAGGTACCAATTTTCCCTCATTCACGGCATCCGTAATCTAAAATAAAAAAAGTCCAAAAACCAAACAAAACATTTAACTCAAACAAAATAAATAAATAAAGACCAAAACTTTACTATAAAAAACCCTAAGAAAGAGCACCTGTTTATAGAAAGAAGATTTAGGGTTAAGCTCTTGCCGAATAAGGGTACCCATGGAAATGTGAGGAACTTCTAGAAGCGTCGAGAGTTTCTCTGCATAAACATGCTTTTTAGCTCCTGGGTCTCCTATCAACACCCACTGCACTCCTCTCCCTGAAGCCGACCCAGACACCGACTCCAAATTCGGCTTTAGCCGATTAAGCTGTTCGAAGTCTTCTTCGGCTTCTGAATAATAATCATCATCATAATCATAGTCGAATTGGACTGCCGCTGCCGATCCATAACCTCGTCTGCCGGAGAATCGGCTAACACAACGAAGTGATGGCGCTGCGGCGGCGGCTAATCGGTTCAGCCAGGCCATTGCGGCGATTGAGAGAGTTTCTTTTGCAAATATAAGCAAAAAGAAAAGAGGGCTTGTATGTAGGAGAAAAGTGAGGTTTAAGAGGAGAGGACGAGACGGTCTTGATGCGGAAACGCCCTTGGTCCTTGCTCGAAATTACGGTAATACTAGAACAGCTAATAAGAAATCGAAACGTGGAAGTTGAGTTTGCGGAGTTGATTTCTAATTGGTTGAGAGGCTTTTGAAGTCAGAGTTAGGATGGAAGTTGGTCTATGGGATTGTAGTTTTTTGAGGAATAAAAGAGGGAAACTTGGAGCTGTTGTTTCATTTTTCTGTTAACGTTAGGGTTAGACTCGAGGTATCCACAAGACGTGGGTCGGTGATAGCTTAGAATCATGACACGTGGCGCTTGTTCTTTTTAGTCTAATTGTTTGGCTTTTTGGATACTAGAGTTACTGTACGAACCACAGAGCTTTTATACTGTCTGCCTCCCGTTCTGCCACGTGGCAACGTGCAAAATCCATAAAAAGCTAATCGCTCAAGGAGCATGAATGGTATTATGCAAGAGGATGTACATGGAGCAACCACTTGGGTTCACCGTTCTGACTCACCCTTGACATGTTTTTCGTCCTCATCGATTTCTTTATGTTCTGAAATAGGCACTACGGGCATGGTATACTCGGATTAGACAGTTCTACTAAGACATGGCTTCACAAGCTCCAAAACTACTCCCTGTTTATTTACTGTCATTCTGATACTCAGTTATTTTTATTGGCGTATATGGATGATATTTTGATTTATAGCAGCGGTTCCTCTCTTATTCAATGGATTATTGACTTGCTTTGTTAATTGCCTATTTTTGTCTATAGCTTCATAATTTTATTTTATTTTATTTTTTTTGAAAATCGAGAATTGTTTTAATAAAATGATAGCCATAGGCTTACAAAGTAATTAAAAAGAAAAAGGAATAAAACCAAACTATAAAATCGTTAGACTTATGCATACTATTCCTTGCTAAAGAATCTGTCATTGCATTCCCTTCTCAAAGAACATCACTGAAAGTGATAGTACCCAAAGATTTAACAAAGGAATCAATGGAGTTGAAAATACTTTGAAATCGTTATGATCTAGCAGAAATTTCTTACTCATCCAAACAATAGTATTAGATGAGTTTGATTCAATAATCCAATTGCCTGATGGACAAAGACATAAGAGGTACTGATCTCCAAAATTTTCATGATTGCTATAACCTCAACCTCTTTTGATTCCTTAATCCCTATAGGAATAGAAAAAGTACACAAAAAAATTCCATCATATTTCTTAAAACTCCTCCAATGCCGAAAGGTCCAGGCTTTCCCAATGATGAACCATTAATATGCCATTTTAAGAAGCCTAAACAAGGATTAGACCATACAATTGGCAACTGATATGTTGAAATATTAGTCCACATCTTGATACAATCTGAACATTACTCTCTCTCTATATAAAAAAAATATTCATCCACATATTTTACCTAACAAACAACCCTATGAAAAACTAAAGAGAAGATATGATCCCAATTTGAACTAATATCATTGAAGACCAAGTTATTCCTTGCTAACTATATTGACCAAATGATTGCATATAGAACTAAAAACTATAACTTTTTCTATATCAACCCATAATAATAAAATTCCCACTGTTGAAACAAATCATCAACAGAATGTGGCATAACCAAAATACTAACCCATCAAGACATATTTGACACCACAAAGACCATCAACACATTACAATGGAGAAGTAGGTGTTGGTTTATTTCTCGACTAGCGTTGTAGAATGGAGAAATCTTGTCTTTATTGATTATATCTTTTGTAGTTAGTGAACTTTTAGTAGTTACTCTCTTCAATACCGCTAGCCAAGTGAAAGCTTCAACTTTTAGATGAGTAAGGTGATGGGATCATGCATCTTATAGAGGTGCGAAACGAACAAAAATTTTGTTTCCTCCATCTAAAATTCTCAATATCAACCATTGAATCAACTAATTATATTAGCAACAAGATGATTAAGGGTTACCTCTTGTAGTGCAAAAATTAATTTATGGAAAGAATCGTCCAAGTGTTCTATCTCTATCGGTGATCCACGCGACTCAAACATCCACACAAAGAAATGATAGAAATCATAGAGTGTAAGCTCCAAATTTTCTCTAAAAAATCTTTTAGGGTTGGTGCACTATGCCTAGAAAGAGAGAGAAGTTATGGGTTTGATTGTTTTGAGAGAGACATATAAAAACCTTTTTTTTTTTGTTATTTTTGTATGTTATTCGGTCTCTTTCTCTCCTTCTCTCTATATGTAAGTGGCAACAACTCTCCTTGTAGGTCAAGGAGATGCAACTCATGTGGACTTAATTTAACCTTATCCTTGTAAAATCATGAGCCATATCCTTCGGTGTTCAAGATTATTCATCCACCAAAAATATCTAGTAGACTTTTTAATTAACTTATTAGCCCAAACTCTTTTGACCAATTTCATTACCAATTGATCTCATAGCACAAACAACCTACAATATTCACTACATATCCATATTGTGTATGCCTAGATTAGTACAAGAATGCATTATTTAGTTATTAAATTTAATTCCTTGTTGAATAATTTTATTATGTTTTTAACAACCTATAAACAACTTATGCCCTAAACATTGGTTAAGTAAGTCGTTGTCGTCGGAAGTCAATACTTTTTTTTTCATGAAAATTGATTAGATTAAAAGAAAAGTCATCCAGCGAGTTGGCAAAAAAAGAGATCATACAACAAAAATAAAAACGAACGAATCTAAAGTTAACACTTAGCAAAATATATTTTAGTTGACTTTTTTGGTTTAAGGTATTTAGAAACTAAATATCAACCTACTTTGGTCAATACTTAGCAAAATATATTTAGTCTCTTTTAGAAGGAGAACTTTCTAATAATTAAATCAAAGTTTTAGGGAAAATAGTAGCCTAATAACGTAGTGGAAGTTCACAAGAAGAAAATAAATACCGTCGATTTGAAATTCGGATATCGGTCTATTATAACTTGTTGAATTGCGCATAAATACCAAGAAATAGGCTTTAATCCTGTTGATTCAAGAAATATCGAGAATTGAAAAAATCGAGATACTCTCTCATAAAAGTTTATTAATAAAGCAAAAGTGACATTTTTTAGCCTCAAAGTCATACATAAAAAGTAAATTTTTAGCTAAAACCCTAAAGTAATTTTAAAAGAAAATAAACACTAAAATCCAAAAATATTAAGGAAAAAACTTGAAAAAAATAGTAAAAGTTGATTTTGAGGGCTTATTTTTGGCCAAAATGGGCTATGCCCAATGAGTTTTGGTCATTGGCCCGTTTGGCATTGAATTAGATCCAATAATCTCAAAATTGGATCGATAGTTTTTGCCATGCTTATAACATTCTATGAATTCCAATGCATGTTGGTCCGCATCATTCCCTCCAAGAAAGAAAAAATTTACCCTCAAATTTTCCGCATCATCATCATCGGAAGAGTCACCACGAAAGGGTATCAAATGCTTGGCATTAAACATATCGATAGTGCAAATATGAATAATTTTTCACATGGCTAAGGACGGACTCGCATTCTAAATTAATGTACCATTTCCTAACCACCTTTTGAAAGGTGGTAGGTATCACTTTCCACATGGCCTTTGAATTTCGGATGAAGAGTTCAAAGTTTTCTTGGACATTCCGCACATGTTACCAAGGGTCTATAGTGCCATCTTAGGTGTCCAAGTTCATTTTCTTGGTGAAACTTTCCTTTAAAAGTTTGGCATTTAGTATATGCAAGATGAGTAGAGAGGCTTGGAGCTAGTGACTATAGTGCTTAAACTCTAACCGGCTAGCGATACTTAGTCATTTATCCTCATGTTGACATTTGAGATTGAGGCTCTCGAAAGAGGTTTGGGATAATAAGGAGTTATCATCATATCTATTTTTATAATGCTTGTAGGTTGTGTTTTGCCCGCTCTTAATGCTTTAATGATACTCTATTTTGTCATCTTTTTTCTTTTCTCTTCGGGAGGCCTTGTTGACTAGTTCTTTTCTAAGATGATGACCTTTTTGGGTTTGTGAGAGTAATTTTTTCTCCTTTTAGCCCTCCATTTACTCGTATCAAACTATCCCTTCATGTGTTGATTGAGTGGTCTTTTTTGGCATGTTGGATTCATTAGGTTTAAATATGTTGGTAAAAAGATAATTTTTTAAGGCCTCGCTATGGCCTTTATTGAATTTTCAACTTCAATGGAGCAATTAGTGATTTAAGGGCTCGTACTAGTATTGCTCTTGAAAGAGTTTTTTGATTTTCAGCTATACGAAAGCATGAAGAATGGATAAAAAAAGGTTTAAGGACTTGCTTTTTACTCGATCTCTCATAGATAGCACCACCGATGAGGTTATTAATCCTTAATAGAATGGATGGATGGATGAGCGTGGCCTTGTGTTGTGATCTTGATATCAATACTTGCAAAACAAAGTTTTATTTATTTATTTGTTTATTTTAGGTTAAGAGTACCTTTCGATAACTAAATTAGCGTAAAAAGGGAGGCAAATATAGCCTTAATAGGTTTAGTTGTTTATATTTAGTGTGTCGACGGGGTCCTATGGGGGATGTGTGAGAATAAGGAGTTGCCACTTAGGTAATCGAAAAAAACTAAGAAACCCTAAATAAATTAATCTATAAAGATATCTAGATAAGAGGTCAATTACGTATGGAGAAGATATAAAATCACGGTCATTCGGTCTTACTTAAGGTAAGCCACATTCTTTGCATATGAAAATAAAAATCTAATTTTTTTTTTTTACTATGTTATGTTTTTATGTCTATTTGAATAGATTTATTTTATGGGAATGGAAAAGTAGAGTATTTAAGGGTTCGGGTTGTTCCGAGGTCGAAACCCATACTTAGATGAAAATGGTGGAGAGAGGTTGGAATTTTGGCTAATATTTAATGAACTCGACTCGTACCGATAAGTAGATGAGTTTTTAAAGATTAATAACTTTTTATTAGCATGAGCAATGAGTTATTAATAATTTCACTCATATAAATAAAAAGTTACCGACGACTTCAAGTCATGAATTTAATAAGATGTAGATAACTTTATTACATAAATAGAAAACTAATATAACTTTATTTTGTTATGAGTAAAGAGCTTATGACTAGATTATAAGTCACTGATAGTAAATTTAGCATAAATAGATCCCGACAAAGTGGTGCTGCTCAAGATTGTTGAGCTGAAGTTATGATGAGATAATGTAGATGAGTCATTGGATGCTTTATTTTTGCCTATTTGTGTCTCAACACGGGAGAAAAAGCATTACCATGCTGTACCATTGTCTCTACGATTGGGCTACCACTTTTAGTGGCAGTACTTTTTAACTTTTTCTTTTTCTTTTCCGTTTTTACTTAACAAGTAGTAACTTTTTTAAGCTTATGTTATTTAATATATTCCATTTTAAAAGAATAAGCTTTTATTTATTTATAAAAAGGAGAATAAAGTGAATAAATTATTTTCTATGAGCATTTAAATCTCTCTACTGCAAATGAAACAGCCACAAAAGTGAGAAGAAAAAAAAAGCAAAAGGAGAGATAATAATTGGGAATTTATCCTTTGCTTTTTGACTGCAAAAATGAAAATTACTTGTTTAATATCAGGTGTATCTGATCTGAGAGTGAGCGATAATAAATGGTTCCTTTCTCCGATGACTTAAAAGATCATACGATGAATGTTTGCAATTTTCACAAATTATATATTTCCTATATGACTTTCAAAGATAATATTTGCAGTAAGGCATCTTCAATTGTATTACTTAAACAGAGTGACTCACACATGTAAAACAAACAGAATTGGAATGAATTAAGAAGAAATTAATAGAAAGCAGCAAAACTTTCTTTTTCTTCTCTCTCAACATAAAATTTGAAAGCAATATTGAAGGGTGATCTTACTTCTTGATGGAAAATATGGTCTGTAGCACGGTGAGGATTAAAAGAATGACGCTGCCAATCTGCGAAACAACGATCAATGGGGTGCCCAACTTAAAGGTAATACGCAATCTAGGCCATATGCGGTGGCAATACAGGTTCACCGTCTGGCAGACGTCTAGATAGTAGTATCTTTTCAGATAAGTATCCTGATAGAGCCTCATGAAGAACTGAGAAGCATCTCCTGCAATCAACCAATTATCAATAACACCTTTCTGGATCAGTATATTCACATCCTTGTCAGTCCCAATTAGGTTATATAGGAGTATGACATAAGAAGTGATCATAGGTGAGCATCCAGGATAACACTGTTCGTAGCTAATAAGGTTTCGAAAGATGACTTCTGTTGATTCCTGAATTAACAGAGAGGGAATTTCTAGGACACCATTCCTAAATTTTATATCCAATATGCTTCTTGATTTTTCCACCCTGAATTTGATGCCAGCATTTACAAGATTGGTGGCAGAAGGCATGGTTTGCCATCCATTTATCTTATGGTCTTCCTTTTCTTCACAGGACAAAACCAACCAATTCCTTAAGAGGTCAAGTAAATGATTTTGTTTTTTGTGATTATGTGAGACTGGGGGAGGACTTGTGAAAGAAAAAATTTTGGTAAAGAATTTAAGGGCAAGTTCAACAAGGTTTTGGCCAAGTCCTGTCAGGCTGAATAAACGTTCAAGGACCTTCCAAGGTATTTGGTTTTCTAGTAATAACAAGTCATAATGGAGGTACTGGATCATACAAGACATGGTGAAAACAGGGTCGTCAGGATCTCTAAGCCTCTTATCATCATCCTTTTGAAGAAGCTCGATAATGAAGCAACCATCAAGCACCAATATTTTGACTAAATCATCCACACTTGAACAAACTAGTCCAGAATAGCAGTCGCGCGCCTCTTGCTCGATCTCCCCGATGGCTTTGATCATCTCCTTCAACATGGTGTCTCCGCATGTTGCTCGAGAGAGGAGGTCCTTTAGATACCTTTGTTTCACCTTTCCTGTGGGTTTAAACTTTGAGTTGTTATGGTGCCAGGGTCCTATTGAAAACGCAGTGGGAATGTAAGCTTCTTCATTATGCCTTCGAAGTATGTAGGGCACCCTGAATATGGAGCACTTCTGGGACACTGATAAATTCTGGGACATTGTGTTTTTGAGAGAAGAGGCAAGTGAATCAACATCAATGTTGACATGAGCACCTCCAAAAGAAGAGGCAAGTGAATCAACATCATTGTTGACATGAGCACCTTCTCCAAAAGAAGAGTCAGACGTTCCACCATCACTTGTACCTAAACCTCTATCTTTTGGAACCATTGCCATCAATTTTATCGGAAAAACCTGATAAATAGAAAGAAAATAACATAAGATAGTTTTGCACTAGCAACATTACAAACAGTTCTATAGCATTCAAATGAAATAACCATTAATCCAAAAGTACCTGTTGAAATGGAACTTTATAGAGAAGGATATTATGCTGAACTGCTCGCGGTATCTAAAGTCGAGTAAGTGAAAGTTTAGGCTAAAAATGGATAGGAGATCAATTTCATGTGGAAGAAGGAGTGACACGAACAAATTTGAGTGGATAAAAGTAGTAAAATCATATTGATGGATACTAGTATTTTGAAAGATCAAAACTAGAAAACTTATCAGACAAGGAATTGTAGCAGCAGAGCTTTGAATGGAAGTTTGCTTCTATGCACCTATGGTTTCTATTACAAAATGCTCTGCCATGGTTCTCTACGTATAATCTATCTCAATTTATAAGAAGTGATTAACTTCTGTTGTGTTGTCCAAGAAAGTAAAAATAAATAAATAATAAAAAACTTTTTTGTGAGAAAAGTGTGCAGGAACTTCAATAGTGAACATATTAGTTGTCTTTCCTTTGTCCAAAGCTGCAAATCTATTAAAATAGCCAAATCTCTCGTTTTGGGAGAAATTCCAAGTGACTTTATTCTTTACTTAGAATGTAATGAAAGATAAAGAAAGAATGTCTGCCAAAAGCATTGGTGATACTAGTTATCTCTCTTTACGCAGTTAGACATCCCAACTTCCCAATGAACAAAAGAAAAACAATAGCTAATTGATCTAATCTGCGTTTAGTCAGAGAACAGATCAAGAGTTATGGTTCTTTTCTTCAAGATTACGCTAACAGGTCATGTAATTTGAAGTTTTTCTCTGCCTATACAACTCAAAAGTACTGTAAATGGACATTTCCTTGATCAAAAAGCAATCTTATTAGTACATGAAGGGATTGCAAAACATAGGGGAGATTACATGAAAGCATGCTTTCTCTATCTTCTCCACCAAAGTTTATCTAACAAGTCAATATTTATTTTCGAATCTCATCATAACATACAGAAACATTAAGTGATTTAAAACTTATTTAATGACAGAAAATATTGTCTGAACAACAGTGAGAATCAAAAGAAGAACAGCCGCAAGCAGAGAAACAATTGCCCATGGGGTGCGAAAGTACTTGCTCTTTAACGCAGCACGCCATCTTGGCCAACACTCCTTGCAATACTCGTTCACATCGTGACACAGATCTAGATAATAGTACTTTTTCAGATTGAAGAAAATAATATTTGGGAAAATAATTTCTGTATATTAATTACACAACTACACATATATATATATATATATATACATAGGGAGTCCTAAGATAGGAAATAATTCCTAAAGGATAGGAAAATAGAATAGGATCCCTACAGAATAGGAAAGAATATATAAAATATTTCCTATCTAATTATATCCCGATATTTCCTACACTCCCCCTCAAGCTCGGTGAATATAGGTCTTCCATTCCTAGCTTGCATATATTTTCCCGAAATGTATAACTGTTTAATCCTTTTGTTAGAACATCCGCCAACCGAAGATTCGTAGGAACATATGGAGTACAAATTAATCCACTCGTCGAGCTTTTCCTTAATAAAATGTCTCGTCCACCTCTACGTGTTTAGTTCGGTCATGTTGCACTCTGGATTGTGCGCTATACCGATGGTAGATTTATTATCACGGTAGAGCTTCATTGGACCACACCATTCAACTTTCATATCTTCCAAGATGATTTTCACCCACAATAGTTCACATATACCTGCTCGCCATTACTCTAAATTCAGCCTCCGCACTTGATCATGCAACCACATCCCGTTTTTTACTCCTCCAAGATATCAAGTTTCCTCCAACAAAAGTACGAGTATCCCGTAGTCGATCTTCCGTCAACCGGAGAACCCGCAAAGTCGGCATCCGTGTAAACTTGCTAGATCAATATTCTGTTTTTTCTTATATAGAATTCCTTTGCACGGGTGAGCTTTCAAATAACGAAGAACTCGTAAACGACTTGTAGATGAATTTCTCTTGGATCATGCATAAACCGACTAATAACACTCACGGAATAAGTTATGTCCGGTCTAGTATGAGCAAGATAGATGAGTTTTCCTACGAGACGTTGATACCTTTCCTTCTCCACCTTCTTATCACCTAAAGCTTCTCCTAATCGATGATTTTGTTCGATCGGAGTTGCTGCAGGTTTGCTTGCTGTCATCCCGGTTTCCATGAGTAAATCGGTAACATATTTTTGTTGTGAGATGAATATTCCTTGCTTAGACCGAGCCACCTCTATGCCAAGAAAATATTTCAATCTCCCAAGGTCTTTAATTTCAAACTCTTGGTTCAAACACTCGCTTTAACACTCCTTTCTCTGTTTCATCGTTCCCGGTTACAATGATATCATCAACGTAGACAATCGAATTGTGACTCCCTTGAAGCGAGTGTGTTTGATAAATAAAGTGTGATCTCCTTGGCTTTGTTTATATCCATTCGCAAGCATCACATTAGTAAACCGACCAAACCAAGCACGGGGCGATTGTTTGAGGCCATACAACGCCTTCTTGAGTTTACAAACTTGATTCCCATCACTACCACTAAAACCAGGTGGAATGCTCATGTAAATATCTTCCTCCAAGTTACCATGTAAAAATGCATTCTTCACATCATATTGCTGTAACTCCCAATCAAAGTGGACCGCCAATAACAATAAAATTCGCACTCGTATTCATCTTTGCTACTGGAGCAAACGTCTCTTGATAATCAACCCCATATATTTGAGTATAACCCTTGGTAACCGATCCGGCCTTTTATCGTTCTAAAGACCCATCCGCCTTAAGTTTCACCGTAAACACCCACTTACAGATCGATCGTTTTCTTCCCTCGAGGCAACGGCACCAATTCCCAAGTACCATTCTTTTCCAAGTGCTTCCATCTCTGCAGTCATAGCAAGTCTCCATTCTTCTTTAGATAAAGCTTCGGACAAAGAGTTAGGAATAGCAATTGAATTTAATATGGACGAGATAGCTACGGTGATTTTGAGAAAAATTAGTGAAAGACACAAAATTGGCCGATGGGTATAAAGGTGTTTTTGTGCGATTGCGGGTTCCTTTCCTTAAGGCTATAGGTTTGTTAAGATCGAGTCTCGGGTGGTGTAGAATCGGATGAGGGAGAAAAAATGTTAGAAATTGTTACCTCGGGTTCATAACTCGGTACAAGTGATTGATCTTGCTGCAGAGCGAGGAATGGCGTCCTTTTTCCTTGTATACACCTTATCAAACCGAAACCGATCAATCAATCTACCACTATCCTCTCGTTTCTTTTGCGGGCAAGAGAATGGTGGATTGGTAAACATGATCATCAAGAGGTCGTTCATAAGGAGCTACATCTCTTGATGAAGAAATATCAAGAGACAGATCAATATCGGAATCAACAATTGTAGGAAGCTCCTCCGGAATGTAAGGTGTAGAAAAATATGGTTTATTTTCAACAAAAGTGACATCGACCGAGACATAGAGCTTATGAGTAGGTGGATGATAACACTTGTATCCCTTTTGAGTGACTCGAATACCTCAAAAAATGCATTTAAGGGCTCTAGGATCTAACTTTCCCCGAGTGGTATTATGGACATGAACAAAGGATGTACACCCAAAAATACGAGGGGTAAGGTCGAAGGAAGATCGAACATCGTGGAAGAACCGAGATAAAATTTCCAAGTGGACTTTTGAAATCTAAGACTTTAGAGGGCATCCTATTTATGACATAGGCCGACGTTAAAACCGCCTCCCCCAAAACGTTTTAGGAACATTCCGTTAGAACAAAAACGCCCTAGTACATTCAAGAAGATGACGGTTTTTACGTTCAGCGACTCCGTTTTGTTGTGGAGTGATGACACAAGATGACTCATGAATAATACCCTCTTTTTGAAAATAGGAAGACAAAGTCTAATTAAAGTAGTCACGAGCATTATCCGACCGGATACGTTTGATCGGTACCCCAAATTGATTTTTATCATAGTAGATAAAAGTGGGAACAATATGATCGACATCGACTTTTGTTTAAGAAGATAAACCTAGGAAGTTCTAGTGCAATCATCAATAAAAGTAACAAACCATTTTGATCCAAGTAATGTTTTGGATGGACGAAGGGCCCCAAATGTCACTATGAATTAAAGAAAAAGGAAAACTTGATTTTTTATTGCTTATTAGAAACGATACACGTGTGTGTTTGGCAAACTCACAAATGTCACACTCGAAAAACTTTAACATCGACTCCTTTAAACAAGTCTCGGAAACATTATTTTTAAGGTAAAAAATGACAAATGACCTAAACGCCTATGATGTAACCAAATGATATCTTTATTTAACCGTGAAAAACATGAGAATGGAGAAGATAAATTAATCGGGCTCTGCTGACTTGGTGTACTCGAAGTAGTAAAGGCCATTGTGCTCTTTAGCAAGTCCAATCTTCTTCCCCGACTCCCGATCCCGAAATTCACAACAACCAACAAAAAAGGTAATATGACAATTCAAGTCTTGGATAAGTTTATGAATAGAAATAAGATTGGTGGATAATCGAGGAACATGAAGAACATTTTTTAGCATCATGTTTTGACCAATTTGGATATCTCCAATACCGGCTATCGTGGTTGTTGTACCATCGGCTACGGTTACTTTTCGACTACTCGGGACAAGGTGTATAGGTTTTGAAAAAATGGATGTGTGGGTCATATGATCCGTAGCACTCGAGTCTAAAATCCATGCATTCCAAAACTCATTATCCAAAACATTTAATCCAAAGGAGATGGGAGTTTTACATGAGAGCGTTAATGAGCACAAACCTTGAGATTGGTTAGGAGGTGTAGCAGGTTTTTCCACGGATCCTAACAAGCTCTTGAGTTTTTCTAGATCTTCCATACCGAGTCCTTCTAATCCCTTCGGTGCGTTTTGTGTTGTCACATAGGCTTGCCTCCGTGACTGTCTTTCGTTGCCCACCTCTTTGACCCCATTCTTGGTTGTGAGTTGACGGCTTGCCATATAATTTCCAAGCACTCCTCCTTGGTATGCCGGGGTTTTTGGACGAAGTTACTTCCTCTAAGATGGAAGTTTCGGTTGTAGACATAGTGAAGGGACCAAAGGTTTAAAAAACTATGAAAAATTACAGCAATTAAGGTCGTGGAAAAAGCGAAGAAAACTGACGAGCAATGAAGGTTGTACGAGTGGCGATTTCAGCAAAGAAACCCTAAGGCTCGATACCATGAAGAAAATAATATTTGGGAAAATAATTTTTGTATATTAATTACACAACTACACATATCTATATATATATACATAGAGAGTCCTAAGATAGGAAATAATTCCTAAAGGATAGGAAAATAGAATAGGATCCCTAAAGAATAGGAAAGAATATACAAAATATTTCCTATCTAATTATATACCGATATTTCCTACACGAGATAAGCATCATGATAAAGCTGGTTGAAGAATTGGGTTGCTTCTTCTGGATTCAACCAATTATCAATAATTCCACTCCTGACGAGTATATCCATATCTTTGGTAGTGTTAATGGGGTTGTCTAGGAGTATGGCATATGAAGTGATTCTTTCGGAGCATTTAGGACAACACTGCTCATAGCTGATGAGGTTTCGAATGATGACTTCTGTGGTCTCTTGAATTAGCAATTGAGGGATTTCCAGGACACCTTTTTCAAACTTTATATCCAAGATGCTTTTTGACTCCCCCACCTTCAATTTAATTCCGGCATCTACAAGATCTGTGACAGAAGGCATAGCCTCCCATCCCCTTTTTCCATTTTCCTCCTCTGCAGATGACAAAACTAACGAAAGTCTTAAGAGGTCAAGCAAATGTTTTTGTCGTTGGTAACTGCTAATTCTGTGGAGTTGTTTGAATGAAAAAATGTTGCCAAAGAAATGCAGGGCAAGTTCAGCAAGTGTTTTGCCGCTTGCAGCCCCCCGGTCATGTGGAACAAGCGTTCAAGGACAAACCAAGGTATTTGGTTCTCTACCAATATCAAGTCATGATATAGGCACTGCAACATACAAGACATATTGAAGATAGGATCATCATCTTCTCTAAGCTTCTCATCCTCATCCTTTCTAAATAGCTCAATGAGGAAGCAACCATCTATTACCAGCATTTTGACAAACTCCTCTTCATCCATGTCAATTTGTCCAGCATAGCATTCCCGTGCCAATTTCTCGATCTCCCTAATGGCTTCGATCAAACCCTTCAGTGTTATACCCTTACATGCTTGGGAGAGAAGGCCTTTGAGATACTTCAGTTTAACTTTCTCTGTAGCTTTCATCAGTTTACCGTCACGATGCCAGGGGCCAATTGAAAATGCGTTGGGGAGATAAGCTTTTTCACTATGCCTTCGGAGAATGTAGGGCACTTTGAAGATGCAACACTTATCTGACATTGTCAACTTTTGGGACATCATATGTTCAACGGAAGAGGCCAATGAATCAACATCAATTTTGACTTGCTCGTCTTCTCCGCGAGATGAACCACATACATCAACATTCATAGCACCACCATCTCTTTCAAATTTTTCCATCGTTTCTATGTGAAGAATCATAAAAGAAGCAGAAGATAGAATAATGAGGACATAAAAAAAAGTACGTTACAAAGAGAAAAAAACGAATTCTAAGCAGAGTGTGAGAAGTATCTTCTTCAACAAATTATGTCTTTTACATCCATAAATTCTTCAAGAAAAGCTCAAAACAAAACTATTAATTGAAGAAACTCCTCCAAACTGATCCGAGTAACTACTCAAAACCCGAACCCTTCCAAAATCCTACAGGGTTGTATAAACGTATCATAAACAAAACAAAGGTTTTGAACTCACTGGCACTCTAAACATGGGTCTGCGGGGATTTTCGAAAGTATTGTGATTTTTCTTTTCTTGTGAAAAGAATATTTGCCTTGCAATTTTCTCAAACGAGCAATGCAAAAGGAACCTATGAACCTAACGAGCAGTTGTGTAAGGTTTATAGGAGAACAACTGTATATCAGCATTAAGCTTCATTCATACCTGAGAAATTGCAGCTTTCTTGTAGACTTTCTCACTCTTCTATGATTTGATTGTGAATCCTATGTTGAGTTGTTGACTGATTCCGGCAGCAATCTGCAAGAGAAGTTTTACATGGAATCATCAAAGTTTGCTGCAGAAATTCCAAAATCATTAAAGAGGAATAGCAAAATGTAGTGCATCCCTATAACTTTTAATATAGCATTATCTCTGTCGATTGGCCAAAGCTTTAATTCATTCTCAAGGCTCTAAAAGTGTATTCTTCTGGATTCGCGGCACGTACGTTGAATGCTGGTGGCAGAGATGATTTATGTATTTGAAGCTAAGTCTGTGAAAGTTTAGGCTGAGGAGGGAGGAAAATTCAAATATTTCTCGTGGAGCAGAATCATAATTAGGAGGCGATAAAAAAGAAGAAATTTAAGAGTTTGAAATGAGAAATCTTAAGGGCATAGTAATGCCGTTTGGAAGAAAAAAATGGTGGATGAAACTTTGCTTCGACAAGGGCATGGTTCTGCCAAAATCCTCTGGAAGCTCTGTTTATATAAGGTATGAGAGGACAAAGATGTTCAATATATATATATATATATATATATATATATATTATGGTTAAAAAAAATAGATAGACTGTCATTGAAGTTTATACCTTAATTTGTTTGAATGGTAAAATTTATTCATAAAAAAATTAATTAAACATCTTAGCTAATTTGTTATTATATACTAATCTATGTTATATTTCTTGATCTTTTTGACATAGGCTCAAGCTACTTCATAAATAGATTAGATTAAGAATAATTCTCACTGAACGCCAAATCATTGGTTACAAGGATGGACACTGGTTTTAGTAAGGTAGTATCCATGCTTTGTTCTTAGGATGCATTAAAAAGATTAGCTTATTGGGCTCGGAGTAGGATTCGTTAAAAAAAAGCCGTATTGTTACTTTCATTAGTAGTTTGCTATGTTATATTTATTGAATTATTATGTAAAATAATAGGATATACCAAACCCTAATAAAGCAAAAACAATTATGCAAAATAATTCAATAAATACAGTAATATGCCAACTTTATGTAAAATAATATTTAAAAGACATGTGCCTATTATTTTTTATGCAAGGGTATACCAAACCCTAATAAAGCAAAAAACATGCTTGGATTTTTTTTTTTTTTTGGTTGTATATCATTACTAAATTTATCGTTGATCAAGTTTTAAGCATGCCTAGCTTCCTTATCTAGTCATATATATACATAACACGAGACATGATACTAAATTCTAATAAGTATCATTCTTAATTAAAAATTTACAATTGAAAATAATCTAAAAAAATATAAAAAATATATAGATAATTAGTATGTCTATAAGATTTATAAAAGACGAGGAGATCATATGAAAAATATATCGGATTCTTTAGTTTTCTTGGGTCACTAGTCATGAGAAATCAAAGTCATTAATTTAAATTTTTATGGTTAAGATTTTATTCCTACAAATTAATAGGTGGTTAGAATTTTATTTTATTTTATTTATTTATTTAAAAAAATTGATAGTTATATCTCTACATGTAGCTCATGATCAAAAGTCTGGTAATGCTGAGAATTTTTTATGAAGAAATTAAATCCAAGCTCTCCTTTTTTTTTTTTTTTTTTTTTCATCTTAGGATTTGGTGACACATGCCTATCTCATATGCTAATTATGTCAGCAATTTCACTAATATTCAAACATGACATTCCAAACCAACAAATTATATAATTAATAGCCAGATTGGGACTGAGCTTTGTATGTACGGTCTCATCAGCAGGGTAATTAAAGGCAAATCATAGATTTGTTAGGGAAATCAAAATGTCCTTGGATGCTTTATTTTTGCCTATTCGTGTCTGAACACCGGAGAAAAAGCATTATTAGTATGCTGTATCATCGCATCTACAATCAGTGGCAGTGCTTTTCAACTTTTTCTTTTTTACTTAACAAGTAGTAACTTTTTTAAGCTTATGTTATTTGATATAATCCATTTTAAAAGAATAAGCTTTTATTTATTTATAAAAAGGAGAATAAAGTGGATAAATTATTTTCTATGAGCATTTAAATCTCTCTACTGCAAATGAAACAACTACAAAAATGAGAAGAAAAAAAGCAAAAGGAGAGATGCTAATTGGGAATTTATCCTTTGCTTTTTGACTGCAGAAATTGTTTAATATCAGGTGTATCTGATCTGAGAGTGAGCGATAATAAATGGTTCTTTTTTCCGATGACTTAAAAGATCATTCGATGAATGTTTGCAGTTTTCACAAATTAAATGTTTCCCATATGACTCTCAAAGATAATATTTCCAGTAAGGCAGCGTCAACTTGTATTACTTAAACAGAGTGACTCACACATGTAAAACAAACAGAATTGGAATGAATTAAGAAGAAATTAATAGAAAGCAGCAAAACTTTCTTTTTCTTCTCTCTCAACATAAAATTTGAAAGCAATATTGAAGGGTGATCTTACTTCTTGATGGAAAATATGGTCTGTAGCACGGTGAGGATTAAAAGAATGACGCTGCCAATCTGCGAAACAACGATCAATGGGGTGCCCAACTTAAAGGTAACACGCAATCTAGGCCATATGCGGTGGCAATACAGGTTCACCGTCTGGCAGACGTCTAGATAGTAGTATCTTTTCAGATAAGTATCCTGATAGAGCCTCATGAAGAACTGAGAAGCATCTCCTGCAATCAACCAATTATCAATAACACCTTTCTGGATCAGTATATTCACATCCTTGTCAGTCCCAATTAGGTTATCTAGGAGTATGACATAAGAAGTGATCATAGGTGAGCATCCAGGATAACACTGTTCGTAGCTAATAAGGTTTCGAAAGATGACTTCTGTTGATTCCTGAATTAACAGAGGGGGAATTTCTAGGACACCATTCCTAAATTTTATATCCAATACGCTTCTTGATTCTCCCACCCTGAATTTGATGCCAGCATTTACAAGATTGGTGGCAGAAGGCATGGGTTGCCATCCATTTATCTCATGGTCTTGCTTTTTTTCACAGGACAAAACCAACCAATTCCTTAAGAGGTCAAGTAAATGATTTTGTCTTTTGTGATTATGTGAGACCATGGGAGGACTTCTGAAAGAAAAAATTTTGGTAAAGAATTTAAGGGCAAGTTCAACAAGGGGCTTGTTTTGGTCAGGTCCTACAGTCAGGCTGAATAAACGTTCAAGAACCATCCAAGGTATTTGGTTTTCTAGTAATAACAAGTCATAATGGAGGCACTGGATCATACAAGACATGGTGAAAACAGGGTCGTCAGGATCTCTAAGTCTCTCATCATCATCCTTTCGAAGAAGCTCGATAATGAAGCAACCATCAAGCACCAATATTTTGACTAAATCATCCACACATGAACCAGCTAGTATTTTGAGTGGATAAAAGTGGATAAATCATATTAATGGATACTAGTATTTTGAAAGATCAAAAGTAGAAACCTTATCAGATGAGGAATTGTAGCAGCAGAGCTTTGAATGGAAGTTTGCTTCTATGCAACTATGGTTTCTAGTTACAAAACGCTCTGCCATGGTTCTCTATATATAATCTATCTCAATTTCTAAGAAATGATTAACTTCTGTTGTGTTGTCCAAGAAAGTGAAAAAAATAAAAAATAAAAATCTTCTTTTTATGAAAAATGTGCAGGAACTGTAATAGTGAACATATTAGTTGTCTTTCCTTTGTCCAAAGCTGCAAATCTATTAAAATAGTCAAATCTCTCGTTTTGGGAGGAATTCCAAGTGAGTTTATTCTTTACTTAGAATGTAATGAAAGATAAAGAAAGAATGACTGCCAAAAGCATGCTAGTTACCTCTCTTTATGCAGTTAGATATCCCAATTCCGAGTAAACAAAAGAAAAACAGTAGCTAATTGATCTAATCTGCATTTAGTCAGAGAAAAGATCTAGAGTTATGGTTCTTTTCTTCGAGGGTACGCTAACAGATCATGTAATTTGAAGTTGTTCTCTGCCTATACAACTCAAAAGTACTGTAAATGAACATTTCCTTGATCAAAAAGCAATCTTATTATTCCATGAAGGGATTGCAAAACATAGAGGAGATTACATGAAAGCATGCTTTCTCAATCTTCTTCACCAAAGTTTATCTAACAAGTCAATATTTATTTTCGAATCTCATCATAACATACAGAAACATTAAGTGATTTAAAACTTAATTAATGACAGAAAATATTGTCTGAACAACAGTGAGAATCAAAAGAAGAACAGCCGCAAACAGAGAAACAATTGCCCATGGGGTGCGAAAGTACTTGCTCATTAACGCAGCACGCCATCTTGGCCAACACTCCTTGCAATACTCGTTCACATTGTGACACAGATCTAGATAATAGTACTTTTTCAGATAAGCATCATGATAAAGCTGGTTGAAGAATTGGGTTGCTTCTTCTGGATTCAACCAATTATCAATAATTCCACTCCTGACGAGTATATCCATATCTTTGGTAGTGTTAATGAGGTTGTCTAGGAGTATGGCATATGAAGTGATTCTTTCGGAGCATTTAGGACAACACTGCTCATAGCTGATGAGGTTTCGAATGATGACTTCTGTGGTCTCTTGAATTAGCAATTGAGGGATTTCCAGGACACCTTTTTCAAACTTTATATCCAAGATGCTTTTTGACTGCCCCACCTTCAATTTAATTCCGGCATCTACAAGATCTGTGACAGAAGGCATAGCCTCCCATCCCCTTTTTCCATTTTCCTTTTCTTCAGATGCCAAAACTAACGAAAGCCTTAAGAGGTCAAGCAAATGTCTTGGTACTTGGTAACTGCTAATTCTGTGGAGTTGTTTGAATGAAAAAATGTTGTCGAAGAAATGCAGGGCAAGTTCAGCAAGTGTTTTGCTTGCAGCCCCCCGGTCATGTGGAACAAGCGTTCAAGGACAAACCAAGGTATTTGGTTCTCTACCAATATCAAGTCATGATATAGGTACTGCAACATACAAGACATATTGAAGATAGGATCATCTTCTTCTCTAAGCTTCTCATCATCATCCTTTCTAAATAGCTCAATGAGGAAGCAACCATCTATTACCAGCATTTTGACAAACTCCTCTTCATCCATGTCAATTTGTCCAGCATAGCATTCCCGTGCCAATTTCTCGATCTCCCTAATGGCTTCGATCAAACCCTTCAGTGTTATACCCTTACATGCTTGGGAGAGAAGGCCTTTGAGATACTTCAGTTTAACTTTCTCTGTAGCTTTCATCAGTTTACCGTCACGATGCCAGGGGCCAATTGAAAATGCGTTGGGGAGATAAGCTTTTTCACTATGCCTTCGGAGAATGTAGGGCACTTTGAAGATGCAACACTTATCTGACATTGTCAACTTTTGGGACATCATATGTTCAACGGAAGAGGCCAATGAATCAACATCAATTTTGACTTGCTCGTCTTCTCCGCGAGATGAACCACATACATCAACATTCATAGCACCACCATCTCTTTCAAATTTTTCCATCGTTTCTATGTAAAGAATCATAAAAGGAGCAGAAGATAGAATAATGAGGCCACCAAAAATAGAACGTTACTAAGAGACAGGAATGGAATTCTAAGCTGAGTGTGAGAAGTATCTTATTCAACAAATTATGTCTTTTTCACCCATAAATTCTTCAGCATAAGCTCAAAACAAAACTACTAATTGAAGAAACTCCTCCAAACAGATCCGAGTACCTACTCAAAACCCGAACCCTTCCAAAATGCTACAGGGTTGTATATATAAACGTATCATAAATAAAACAAAGGTTTTGAACTCAGTGGCACTCTAAACATGGATCTGCTGGGATTTTCGAAAGTATTGTGATTTTTCTTTTCTTTTGAATAGAATATTTGCCTTGCAATTTTCTCAAACGAGCAATGTAAAAGGAACCTATGAAGCTAACGAGCAGTTGTGTAAGGTTTATAGGAGAACAACCGTATATCAGCATTAAGCTTTCATTCATACCTGACAAATTGCAGCTTTCTTGTAGACTTTCTCACTCTTCTATGATTTGATTGTTAATCCTATGTTGAGTTGTTGACTGATTCCGGCACCAATCTGCAAGAGAATTTTTACATGGAATCATTAAAGCGGAATAGCGAAATGTAGTGCATCCCTATAACTTTTAATATGATATTTAACTCTCGGACGATAAAAATGATATAGCGTTACCTCTGTCGATTGACCAAAGCTTTAATTCATTCTCAAGGCTCTAAAAGTGCATTCTTCTGGATTCGCGGCACGTACGTTGAATGCTGGTGGCAGAGATGATTGATGTACTTGAAGCTAAGTCTGTGAAAGTTGAGGCCGAGGAGGGAGGAAAATTCAAATATTTCTCGTGGAGCAGAATCATAATTAGGAGGGGATAAAAAAGAAGAAATTTAAGAGTTTGAAATGAGAAATCTTGAGGGCATAGTAATGCCGTTTGGGAGAAAAAATGGTGGATGAAACTTTGCTTCTACAAGGGCATGGTTCTGCCAAAATCCTCTGGAAGCTCTGTTTATATAAGGTAAGAGAGGACAAAGATGTTAAATATGTTATAAGTTTATATTATTTTTTTCCCCCTGAAATAGTCCTATATTCCTATTCTTTCCTTTGGTGCTAATTTATCTCTTTGCTTTGGACACAAAACTTCCTAAGAATCTACCCTTAGAACTTCCGAGGAAAAGCAACTAAGAGGTGTCTCTCACAATCTTTCTGATATGCATTTTATCAAAGTTGATCGTCATCTATCCTATATGGGAACTGATTGGGTCACTGATATTAACAGCTCAAAAATATTTCTTTTCAAAAAACAATATTGTAGCTATCTTCACTGGTAAATGTTTCACCAATCATATATATATATATATATATATATATATATATACTGATTGTAGGTTTTCTCGAATTAGTTTTTATTAGTCTGTAAATCTGGTAGAACAAAATAATTTTAAAATTAATTATAATTATAATTTAATTTCTTTATTTAATGTTTTTTATAATTTTTTTGCTTAAAAAAAACATAAATCATTCTTCTTTATGGATTGATTTTACCTAAACTATTAATCAATAATTAAAAAAATTTAAAATTTTATTTTTCATAATATTGTATTCCAAAAAATAAAGTTATAATTAATAGATAAACTTTTATAAAAACTAATAAATGAAAAAAAATTCTTATTTAATCCCGATAAGAAGATTAATTTTTGAAATTATCAAGCACAATGCTAGGGGTAGATAGAACAAAATCATTTTAAAATTTTATAATTTTTTCATTAATTTTTTATTTAATTGTTACTTTTTTTTGTGTTTTTCATAAAATTTCTACTTAAAAAAATATTTTATTCTTCTTTACTTAGGGATTCTTAAATAGAACTTGTAATAATTTAAACCTAAAATATTAATTAAGAATTCAAAAATAAATACTTTAAAAATATATTATTTTATAAGAATATATCCAAAAAAAAAAGTTACAATTATTTTATAGACTTGCATAAAAATTAACTAATAAAAAAATAAAATTTTATTCTTATTTAATGTTGATGAGAAAATTATTTTTTTAAAAGCATATGCATTTGATATATATATACAAAATAATCAATAAAATTAGCATAAAAATTTTATTTGAATAATTGGTTGGTTCCCTTCAAAAATTATTTTAATTATTTTATTTCAAATAAATTGGTTCTGTAATGTTAAAAAAAAATCATAGTAAATAATTTGTATTATGTTGGAAGATATATAGTTAATTTTTAATAAAAACAATAATTCAATATTTTTTTATACATCTTGACCATACTTAGTGAACTAATACTTTTAACCTTTTCGAATAATATATATATATATATATATATATGCAACTATCATTTAAAAATTCTAAAAATTCATGATATATATTATACCAATTTATTTTTTAAGAAAAAAATCATGTTTTAAAATTTTATTTTAAAATTCAAACATAGAGTAAAATAAATTATATTTATCAGTAAATAAAATTATATATAAAAATATTACTTGGATGAGAATTTTCATAAAAAATGATAAATTCAAAGAATGAAATTTAAATAATAAGAGTAATATAAGCTGAAGTATATATTAATTTTAGAATATATATATATGTGCTGTCAAAAAAAAAAAAAAAAAGCTAAGGATTGGAAAACAATGTTACAACATGAAGGATGAATATAGAAAAAAGTGTTAAATTTTTATATTAATGCTCAAAAACACATAAAAAAAAACCACATACAAAACTTATTTAAATTACCATTAAGTGAATAGTAATTTTATACATATGGACGGTAAGTGAATAAAAATTTTAGGCATATGAATAGTTTGGATTCCCACGCTAAGTTGTGGACCGAACAAAACATGTTTATTTCAGTTTGATAACATATACTATGTTATCGGTCAACTAAAATATATTAAATTAAATATAAAAATTAAAATTTCATCTAATTTTATAATTTTTAATCAATATATATATATATATATATATATATATATATATATATATATATATATATATATATATATATATATATATATATATATATATATATTATGTTTTGAATAAATTTTGAAGTCAAAAAATATGATTTATTCTTTCTTATGCATTTATTCCTAAATAAAAACCCATAATGAATAAATTTTAATATTAAATTTTAAAGAAAAAAATATATATCTCTGTGTGTGTGTGTGTGTGTGTGTGTGTGTGTGTGTTGATAAGATTGCATCGAAGAAATAAAAAAATAATTAATATAAAAACTTGTATGAAAATTGGCAAATGAAGGTTTTTTACCGATGAGAAGATTATTTTTAAAAAAATATGTATATTTGATTTATATATTTTTATTTACAAAATAATGAATAATATTAGCATACAAAATTATATTTTAATTATTAAGTGATTATTTTAAAATATTATTTCAATTATTTTATTTGAAAAATTCATTTTAAAATATAAAAAAATACTAGCAAATATTTAGTATTGTGTGTGTAGATGTATAGTTGATTTCTAACAAAATCAATGACTCTAATATTATTATTTTTTATATATCATGACCAAACTCAATTGGTGAGAATGTATAAAATAAATAGAAAAAATATTTAAAAATTAAATTATAAATTATACATTGAAGTTAATAGAGTGCAATAAAAACTATAAAATTGATTTCGATAAAATTTGATTATACAAAGAATAAGAAAACAAAATACATATATTCTATTTTAAAATTTGATTATATAAGAATTAAGCAAACAAAAACTAGTATAAAAAAACTTATTCGAATCCATAGTAGAGAAAATAAATCATATTTATTAATAAATAAAATTATATATAAAAATAAGAATAAAAATTAACTTCATAAGAATTTTTATACTACTTCTAACAATTCGGGTATCATACCTAATCTTTTCAATAATGACCATAAAATAAATGAATGTGTGGCATCTAATTCTACTAATGTATATGTAGTAAGGTTATGAAAAAATGTTATCACATATAACATTAGTCTTCTCCTTGTTTGCCTACTTTTGTGTCATGGTGTAAACTCGACCAAGATCTCTCTATTCTACCGTGGCCTTTCTTTTCGGGTAGTCGGTTGCCAAATGCCTATTCTCTCAATAGAAATAGCACATGTTGGTATCAATTAAGTAGTTACCCATATGCGGTGGCCATATTTAGGACAATTTGATTTGTCCCTTGCGGGTCCTCTCGCAATCCAGTAGGAGCCTTAGGTTTCTTTGTTAGTGTAGGTACCCAAGATCTAACTTCATTTTTATGGTTTGACTTATTGTAATATTGTATTCTTCATTTATTTAATAAAAAAGTCTTTTTATTACTTCTTGGTGTTTATACTTTGATAGAATTAGATAAATGTTCATACGATATACATTGAATTAATGATTGATTGAAAGATGTGAGATAAATATTAATGCACTAAAATGATATCATTAAATGTCCCAAGTCGTAGTATTGTCCGGAATGGACATCGACTATATATGATAAGATTTGTGAGTGCTATGCTCATGCTATATAGTAGTAGAAGATCTCACATCTATTGGCATGGTGATGCCAAAGCAAGCACTTAGGTAATAATGTTATGGAACATATCACTCGGACTTGACTTACCATGAGAATCTATTTGGTTTAGTGTATGAGAATCTCATAGGAGATGGGTACAACTGTTCCTTTGACTTGAAGTCATCACGTTTATCTCATTAGAGGATTTATGTATTTTGACATGTTTCGATGGGCTCGGTCAAGAGTTGCACATGAGCGATTTGTTGGGTGCACTATGAATCTAATAGAGATGGGTGGATGACTTAGATAGGATTAGTCATTCCTTGTATGCTAAAAGAGTTATCACATTGCACTTTGATAAATATCTACTCAAGAAATCTATGGTCGAAGTAGGAGTATATCAATAAAGTATAGTTGGTTTACTCTAGAGCTAAGATATTTAGGAATAAAAAAAAATTATTTGATCATAATCGAATAGACTATAAACTAAGTTCGAGAT